TTTTCCTTTATTAAAAAAAAGTGATGCAGTTAGTGGACAGAAAGATAATATTGTTGGTTAGCTATGCGTATATGGGTCTAAGTACGGGTACTGGCTTTGAATTGTGTCCTCCACGATGAAGGATTTACTTTTGCAGATGGGTCTTCACCAGGGAAACCAGAGGTGCAGCTGTGGGCATCGCTGGGTGTTCACCGGCACTGCCGGCAATATCGATATGGGTGTACTTGATCGGCAACTTTGAGTCCAATCCGTGTTTGTCCAATCCCGAGGCCTTAATCATAAAGGCAGCGGGCACCTGGTGACCTCGAGGTGTCCTCACCGATGGGGCGTTATTGGCCTGGACGAGATCCTCTCCAATTACCTTGCCCGCATTGAAGGCAAAGTCGCTGGGACGGAGTACGGAAACTTCGAAGGGTTCGCCGAAGGCCTGACCAGCAGCCTGCAGCTTCCTGGCGTGATCCTCGCGATGGGCCACGCTGTTGTCGATGGCAATCGACTGGCCCTCGCCGGCCGAGATGAAAGCATGTCCTGTCAGAGTGGCAATGGTGAACAGATGCGGATCCGGGAGATTCTGCTCCACGACCATCTCCTTCATCCGGCAGAGGGCATCGGTCATGCACATGCGGCCCTCGGCATCGGTGTTGCCAATCCTCACATGAAGCCCAGCGCGGGAGGTGATGATCTCATCGGCCACGTAGCACTCCTCTCCCACCGAGTTGCGGACCATGCACAGGGCTGTCACCACATGGACATCATCCGGCTGGAGTTTGCTGACCACCTGCATGAATCCAGCGGCAGCTGCTGCTCCACACTTGTCGCGCGACATGCCGGCCATCACGCCGCCGGCCTTGATGTCAGCACCACCGGTGTCATAGGTCACACCCTTGCCCACCAGCATCAGAGTCTTCCTCGCCGGCTTTGGGGGCTTGTACTCGAGGAAAATGATGCGACCTCGGTGACGCTCCACGGCATCTGCTGCCCGATTCACGGCCGCAAACAAAGGATACTCCTTCTCCAGGATCTTCGAATCACTTATCACATTCACGTTCAGCTTGTCGAACAGCGGCTTGATGTACTTCTCCACCTGGATAGGTGTCATACGCTCTGGGTCACCAACTCCGATGTCACGAGCCACAAAGCGACCGGCCTCCAATATAAGAGCCTCCTTGAGAATCTCCTCCGCCTTGGGATCATTGATCTGGACACTGAGCTCGGTCACACGGGAGTCCTTAGACGATCCTGCTTCACGCAGTTGAATGGGCTGATAGAAAAATAGCATTTAAATAATTTTGTAATTTGTATACATATATTAAACAATACTCACCACATAAAGTTGCTCCAGGGCTCCCAGAACGGTGCAGAGCTCGGCCTCAGGGAAACGCTTAACCTTGGGCACGAACAGCAATGGGGTTTGAAAGCCAGCCTGGGGAAAAAGGGACATCGTTATTATAAAATATCTATGGTATTTTAACCATATTTATATACATTTTAACAATCGCGGTTTTAAAAATGATCAAAAACTTTATATTATAATTAATTTAAAGTTTTAATATGTAGTTTTTTTTAGAAGAATACCAACCTTGAGCACCTTCTCCATGGACTTCTTGGCCGCCTCCTGGTAGCTCCTAACATCGTCGTAGTCGGTCAGCTCGGAAACGGGGGCATAGACCACCGGCTGGTCCACATTGGGCGCCTTGAAGCAGGAGATGCTGCTGTCGAAGGACTTGTCGAAGCTGCGGTGTTCCTCGAAGGCCGCCTTCAACTCGTTGGGAACCGCGTTACGGTCGATGATGCACAGGCAATCGTTGCCAGCCTGGCTCATCAGCTTGTTCAGCCGGAGGGTGCATGGTAGCATTCTGGAGGGGCACAAATAAAGTGCGCAACGGAATCGTTATTGATATTCATTAAGAAACATTTCTAGGTGGCAAAAATATATGCAATGGCGTTTGATTGTACTGCATTTTATCACGTCATATGGTTTTTATTAACTGATGCAATCGCTCACATTACAAAAGAATCCCATGGCTCTTTTGTATTTTAATTATTGGTTTTCAAAAGAAAAATCCCCATTGAATAGAAAATGACCATGGCCATGCCTTAATATTGTTTTGCCCCCATTTTACCCTCGTTCCTGGCGCTCAGATTATCTTAATTTAAAGTGCTATAAAGAATTGCGATAAGCTTTTTAATCTTATTTCCCCATTTACAAAGAGGTGTACCACCAGTCAAAATATCAGTACAAATCAACATAAAAGACGAAAAATCGAACTTATATGATTAAAAAAGAAAAACATACACTGATAATATCCTTGCTTTAATCTTGTTGTTAAAAAAAATGAGTTTGAAAAATTAAAAAAGTTTAGGAAAGGATTTAAACCTACTCATTTTTGGGCCCGCCCAGTAGTTCAATTATAAATTTGTTTATATTTTAAGAAGCCATAATCTTAAAACATTGCAAAATTGAATTCTTATCTCTCAAACATTTGTATTTTTTTCTTTTCCCTTTTTTTCTTTTTTTACACATTTATGCCAAACATGAGTTGATCAATTCTTATCTGTGTTGCAAAGATAAAGTGTGGAATTTTAAAGGCGCCATCGTTGCACAACGAAAATTCAAACCAACATATGGCAAAAAAATATAGAATAAAGTTAATAATCCGACTAATTTTAGTGAAATGGTTTGGTATAAAAGAGTGCTATACGATTAACCTTGACTGTAAAAGATGGCGAATCCCGGAGAGCTTTCCCAATCGATCGCTAAGCGTGGCCAGATAAATAAGCCCATAATTTAAACACGCCCTCTAATATAATACTTGTGTAGTTTGTACTCACTTTTCGATACCCATGATGAGTGTTTGGAGGCAGCTAACGCGACTTGGTCGATCGGCAAGTGGGGCGTCACTGAAATTCCGATTTCAGATGGGCACAAAGCGCTGCAGCTGGAAACTGGAAACTTGGGAAACAGCGGGATCTGGAAGCGAAAGCTGGCGATAAGGAGCGGTTCTGATAACTCTCTAAGGCGATTTGCAATGTTCTGGTTGGGTGGTCAAGCTTTATATACATTTAACAACCGCCAGCGGGCTTTCGTTTTAATTGTTACTTGCTACTTAAACGAAAACAAATCGCACGAGCGATGAATAATCGCCAATATGATCGCATTGTAATACTAGAACTCGGATTCGGATATTAGCCGTCAACAACAAAAGCAAAGTCTACTCACGTCGCTCGGTCGGGAATTGAGGGTTTCCTCTTGCCAGTCACGTCCACGGTGGATGCAGTCTCTGGGCCAGAAAACAAAGGTTTTCAGAGTAGACCAGCCGGCATGTGCGGAGCTTTCAAACGCCGGCCAGCTGTTTGCCATTTGCCCGCGTTGCCAATCGAGGCGATGGAGTTAGAAAGCTTTAGGGTCGAATTTTGGATACCCTTGTACGATAAAGTGCCAAAAACTTGACTTGTGTCTTAATATTCTTAGTTAACGTGCTTTAAATCTGCAAGTTCTTAATATACAAAGGGAGTTACATTTCAAAATACTTAAGCATATTTCTGTACTCATGTTCTTGCTAATAGTGTAATATGGCATACATTTTTAATATGCTGTCCAATCGGTGTCTTAATTTGTTCGAAAAAAAAAACACAAGTCTTAAAACAGAACATCTTTTATTCCCCATTGATAAAGCCCTGTATGTCGTCAATTAGTTGTGGCAGCTGCTTGGCGTCCAGTACCAAGAGTTTCCTGTAGGGTGTCATCACGGCATCGCCTTCCAGCCAATCACCAGACATGCCAGAGTCCGTCTCAGAGGCCACGGAATACTCGAAGGAGAACTTGGCCCGATCCGAAAGCAGCTCGTCCTCAGCATTGGTGAAGTTGTCCTCGGCTGGTTTTCCCTTCTTCGCCTCCTTCCTGTAGAACTTAACTAGGAGCAGCAGAGAGCCAAAGTCGAACTTCATTTTCTTTGCCTTGGCGGCTTCGATTTCCTGCTGAAGATTCTGCAGCAGTGGCACAGAGATCTGGGCTGGTATGTTGATAAACCGCTCGTTCACCAGAAAGCCCACATGGCGTTGATCACTGTCTAGAATCTCTCTCAGTTGCTGCTGCACTTGCTCCGAAGCGTGCGACTTAGCACGATCAAGTAGGTACGTTCTCAACTGGGCGATGCTGGGCTGATCCTTCTTGGCGGTCAGGTTCAGCACGGAGGTGATCCCAAAGACAGTGCCATCCTCGACCATGTTTTCGTCATCCGTTTCGCTTTCGGCGACGTCATCGTCGCACTGACAAATTACGCTTCCGACGTAGTTTTGCGCTGGGAATAGAATTAGTTAATTATTAAGTTATCCCCTTCTTTAATTCATTTGGAATACTCACCTATTATCAGATCCGCCATTTGGTTGCAGTTGATGTGGGCACGCAAGAATAAACGCTGCAACAGTTGGGATATTCCCTGGGCATCGGGATCTACCGGAGCCCGACCCTCGAAGTCAATTTGAACCTCCTATTTAGGCATTAACTTTAAAACATATTTGTTTCTGGTTTTCTGAGGTCCTCGCTTACCTCGTTGCCTCTGTAAGCATCTGGGTGCGGCTCGTCGTCATCGTCATCATCGCTGGAACTGGAATCCTCGTCGTTGGGGTCCACCTCCATGGTATTTAATTTCTTTTGCTTACTAGCAGACATTTTTTCTTATTTAGTTTAATTTGCTTCTGTTCCGCTTCCAAATAAAAATAAAATGCGGCTTTAACAGCTGTTTATCATCCACACGTGTTGCGTCGCGTTGCCAACCACTTCGGACAGACCTGTTAGCGTTACAGAGCTCTGTAAATCTATAAACAAGTAAGCCTATTCGAAAATTATAATGAGGAATTTCTGTTTTCGAGATATCATCACTGACAGACTAGACTCAAATTCAAAATATGTAGGTAATAAACATTTTAATTAATATTATGACCATTTAATTTTAAGTCCAATAGTCATATAATTATGGTTACTTGTAAAAAGATAAATATTTATGTATAAATACATAGACTTTATTAGACAAGTTGAACAGGAAAAACTTAGGTCAGAATCACGTTTCCAGATTTATTTGAACGATCTGTAAAGGCTCCTCGGTCCGAAGACTGTCTTGTTTGTCATCGCTGATCTCGATTTTAGATTTCTTCTCCTTTATGATCTTTAGACGCTCCTCGTATTGCTCCTGGGTCAGTAGGCTCGCCTTGATTGCATCGCAGTTCTCGATTTTGGGCAAAAGGATGGCAAAGAAGCCAGCTCCTTCGGGCAGTTGCTCCAGAAGTTTGGGCTCCTGCACCAAGGCGGTGTTTACCTCCACCAGTTTGCCCCGAATGCAGCTAGGCACCTTGAAGGTCTCACCTGTATCGGTGGTTAGCAGAGCCAAGGTGGACTCCGCCTGAAGAATCATTCCGCCCTTTTTTCCCTTGCCTTTGACCACATTCTGGCTGCGATCTACGTTTCCAATATCGAAGTTCACCGTGGAGATGCCCTGACATAGAGCAGGATGATCGGGAGCCAGGCAGACCAGGCAAATGCGATTGGAGTGGTAGAGCACTTGGTAAGGCACATCCCCTTTAAAGTAGTAATATCTGGTAAAGAACCGATCCACAACGCTGGGGTAATCCTCTTGGAAGCCATCTGTTATGGGGCTAACCGACTGTCCGCAAATCACCTGATCCTCGTGCTCGAAATAGAAGGGTTCCAGCGGATCGTCTGATTGGACTGACATCTTGCTGAACCTATCCGCTAATTACTCTCCTCCTGAAGCAACTTTTCCTTGTATTTCGATTGACGTTCGCGGGCCTTAGCTCGATTTGCGGCCGATCGGGCAATTCTTTCGCCTTTTAGACACTTTACCACCTTGTCGTCAATGGAGTTGCAAACGCCCACGAATCTGGCAAAGGCGTTCTGAAAGTAGGAACCTATAGTAGAAGTAACCAATCCTGGGAATTCCTTTCATAAACTTACGTTGTCGTGGCAGGCCTGGAGTTCCTCGATCAACTTGTTGCAGGCGGGCGTGTGAAGATGGGCGGACAAATCCGTATGCATTTTCAGCTAAATCCGGTTGAGTTTTTCTCCAGTTTCCTGATTCTTGATTCGCGTGCCGGAGGTGTGTTGTCAAATGTTGTTAGGTAATTTTATTTTTATGCCCTCGATAACGATAACCGCAGTCAGCTGTTAATTAAAAATACTGACGGAAATACCAAATGTTAAACTGTAAACCGTTATGGTTTGAATATTTCGATGGAATTTATCATGGCCTTAGGTAATTCATTAGTTTAATTTTTTAAGTCACATTTTCCAATTTTTGAGTACTTATTCTATGGACTGGTTTCTTAAAGTTGTTAAATTAAAACACATAATTGCTTGGGGTTTTCCGTTGTTTTTATTTATTTGTGTATTTCACCCGCTCTCACAGTTCATTTTACATAGGTTTTCAGTGTGTAAAATTGATTATTTGTATTTTAAGGATGCGAGCTGCTTACGCTCGTCAACAAGTTCATTTTATCTCACATGCGTCTAAGTCATTCTTGATTAAATAGGTTAAATTCTTTATTATCGTCTTCACTGTTTGCTTTTATCAAAAAAGTCTTATCAACTACAAAAATCGTCAGGGTCAGGAACCAAAAACAAAAAACAAAAATTAAAACTGTACGAAATTCCATTTGCTCAAAACTTAAATCTCAGATCTCAAAACTCTGCGCTGTTGTCCACTACTATTCGAGGAAAGAAAAGAAAAAACTGGGCAGTTGGGAATTATAGTGGGATGCTAGCCAATGAGGGGTCGGATTATGGTTACGGGGGTTATGTATGGGTTAGAAATCGTCGATAGTTCGTCTATTAGTTATTGCTCTCAGTTATGGGTTAAGTGCTGATCTACTCGCCTAGAAAAGACTCGATGTTACCTCTCTACTCGGTTAAATATGAAAATAGTCTGTGTGATTGTGTGTTTTGCTCTCGATATTGCATTAGTTTTCCTCTCATTAAGCTCTCAGTTCGGTTATGTGTTATTTAATAAATGAAAATAAAGATCTTCTGCAACGCGGTTGAAATCAAAAAGTTCTCTAAAGCAACCGTTGCTATTTCAAATCGCTCTTGCCTCCCTCTCTCTCTATCTCGTTAGCTCCCTCTCTCTCCCTTCCTTTTGAAACAATGGCCTTGTTTTATGTCTTGCGCTGTTGTTCTCTACCGATATTTTGGGGGTTCTTCAACAAAGTTAAACCTTCTCCTTTGCCCTGTAAGTACGACCCCTTTCTCTCTCCCTCGTTGCCTTTCTCCATTTCACCCTTCTCGATAATAATTCTCTATAGACGGTTACCGGTGCCGATGTCACATTCTCTCTATCTCTCACTAAAACAAACTAAATGGCAGGTTTTCTCCTCTGTGGGAGCCAACACCTCAACTCGTCTTTTTGGGATCGGCCTGGTTCTGGGCCCCACCATCCCGCTGCTGGGCCTCGATGCTGGCCAAAGCCGACTCGGACATCTTCTTGTACTTTCCGGCCAACTCGGGCAGCTCGTAGGCAATGGCCAAGTCTAGTTTGGTGATCGGACATCCGCGGAAGTAGGTGCAGGTGTCCCTCAGCTTCTTGAACTCGTAAAGCGGATTCAGGCGGAAGAAGTCGCGATAGACCTCCGGATCAGGCAGATCGTAGCGCGAGATGTTGGTCAGCGTGGAGAGGCCCTCATAGATGTGGTAGTTTTGCGGATGGTCGATAATGTCATCTGCAATGCGCTTCTTGTTGCCGAACAGCGTCTTGTGGTTGTTGAACGTGTTCAGATAGCAGTCCACCATCTTGGCGTGGTTGCGCACGCGCACCTTTGGAAAAAAAAAAAATTTATTTATAAGTCTCTACATTTTGTACAAAAACTTGGAATCACAGATCTGTTTTTACTTATTAGGTTTGTTTTATGAATCAAGCTTTTTCATTAACAACATTTGTAATACGCTTGGGCTTATATATATATTAAAAATAGAATAAAAATAAATAAATTAATTAATTAATATAGCAACCAAATAATTATATTTCTCAATTCAACTTTATAAAATTATACTAATATTTAATTAGCAAATATTTCAATCGATAGTGAACAATTGTCAAAAATTTACCCCAAGGGATATAATAAGAACTTTGGAGATTTTACCCATATACATTCCTAGTCAAAAATGTAACATAAATATTACGTATACGCCCGATATGTTTTGGGAAATATAAAACATTTTAGGAGGTTGATAATCAATTGTGTTTATACCCAAACTTATTCATTGAACTGATTTAACATATTGACCAATCTAGCGCATATGTCCAAAAGAGTTATCGTAAATATCACGTATACGCCCGAGTACTCACCGCGAAACGACGGGCGCTGGCGATCTTGTGCTCGATGCGCTTGTCGATGGCCGTGCGCAGGTCGCGCAGGAAGGCGCGCTCCTGGGCGAGCAGCAGGCGCGCTGGGGCGCCATCCTGGTAGGGATGAGTCCACAGTGAGGTGGTGTACATCAGCGGCGGCTGGGCGGAGGACATCAGTGGGGAGATGTTCCAGATCAGGGCGCCCTGGACGCGCAACAGCTCCTCCGGCTTGACGGTGTCAGCCTTGTTGAGGATGATGCGCGTCTGGTACTCGCGCCCTTTCAGCTGGTCGAGAATGGCCTCCGTCTCGGGACCCACATCCAACTTGGCCGGGTCGTAGACCAGAAAGATGATGTCCGCCCGATCGATGAACCACTGGCAGGCGTCGTTAAAGGGGAAGACGCGGGACACTTGTTTGCGCACCTCTAGAATGCCGGGTATCTCGACGATGTTGACCTGAAAAACACATCGCCAAGTGCTTAAATTTAGTAATTCTCTCTCTTGCGTTCGCTGCCTTACTACTGCCAGCATCAATTTATTAATAACGAAATTAATGCAGGCTGTGTGCTAAAAGCTATAAATTCCGTTTGGCAGGTGGCCAGCTGTAAGCTGTTTCCCAATCGACGGGCTGCTGCCCTGGGAGACAAGTTAATGCATTGCTGCACATAACGAGCCAGTACTATATGCATTTGGCCCTGATCTGCCCTGCCAGATATTAGTCTATAGCCCACCTTCTCGAGGATCTTGCTCTTCATCTTCAGGCCCCGCAGGCGCTCCTCCAATCCCTGGCCGAACTTCTGCAGTCCGGAGAAGGTGTAGTCCGCCGCCAGTTGGGTGCCATCGAGAACCTCCGTCTCGTTGCCCCACATCAGGATGTTGAAGTAGGCAGGAGAGGGTTCAGCACCTGTTGGAGATCAGGAATAGGTTTCATGGGAACTTTGTTATAGGTTTTTCAATTTTTTGTGGAGTAATGAGAAAAGTACTATATTTGATGGTTATTTATCTGTGTAAGATTTATATAGAACACTTTTTTTTAAATATTTTACAAATCCTTTGGATTTTCAATTTTCTAGTTTTCAAAAGTTTTGGGAATGGTCGGTTCTGGATTTAAGTATAATAAATTCAGCATTCGTGCTTACCAGTTCTCAAAGAGTTAGGGGTGTACTCGTTGTCGGTCAGATAGTTAAGGATGGACGACTTGCCACCCGACCAGGGTCCCATGAACAGAATCAGTGGCTTCGAGAAGATCTCAGGATCACTGAAGTGACGGTTGCTCAGGTCGCGGTACTTGTAAAGAGTTTCCAAGGGCTTGACGGCGTTCTCATAGATGCGTTTGATGTCCCGCAGGATGATCTCGGCCACATTATCGGTGGCCTTCTCGCGGGCATTGAACTCCTCATCGAGTTGGAGCAGCTCAGTGATGTGCTGACGACTGCGACGGTTCTCGGGAATAATTCCTTCCTGGAAACATATATATTATTTTAAGTAAATCTAAAATTAAAGAAATTTTAGCAGACTTACCCAGAGAAGCTCGTCTTCTGGCTTGGTGTCATCATCGTCATCGTCATCATCAGCGGTTTCCTTGGCAGCTTCTGCCTGGGGTTCATCCTTGGCTTCCTCAGATTCTACGGCATCTTCCTGGACAACTTCGGGTTCCTTGGGAGCGGCTTCCGGTTCTACAGCTTCCTCCTCAGCCTCCTCGACTGGAGCTGGCTTCTCCTCCTCCTTCACTTCCTCAGATTCTACCTTCTCTTCTTCCTGTTTAACTGGTTCCTGTTCGGCTTCCTCTACTTCTGGCTCCTGTTCCTGGACAGCTTCCTGTGCGGCTTCCTGTTCGGCTTCCTGTTCCGGCTCCTGTTCGGCTTCCTGTTCGGGTTCCTGTTCCTTCACTGCAGCTTCCTCTTCGGCAGATTCCTCCTTGACGATTTCCTCCTCCACGGGGAATTCTTGGGCGGGACTTGGAGGTGCTTCAATGTCTATAACGGGAGCAGCATCCACTTCGCGTTTGCTGCGCTTCTTGACTGCCTCCTTCTCATCCTCATCATCATCGTCGTCATCATCGGCATTCTCACCGCTATCCTTGTGATCGTGTTCGTTGGGAACACCGTCGCCATCCACATCGCCGTCGTGCTCATTCAGGATGCCATCCCCATCCAGATCGTCGTCCTTTTCGTTTGGCACACCATCACCATCCAGATCTTCATCCTCTGCAGGAGTTTAGTGCAATTAATAAACGTATACCATACGTGTTTAAGATTAACCATACGGGAATTGTTTGTGCCATCGCCATCCAAGTCGTCATCCTTTTCGTTCTTCACGCCATCTCCATCAATATCTTCGTCCTCTAAAAAGACGATAAGGATGTCAAAATAAGTCTAAAGTGGTTGAAGTGAGGATTTACAAAATTCTTACCGTGATTTACTTTTCCATCACCATCCAGATCCTCGTCATCGTCATTTTTCACGCCATCACCATCGAGATCTTCATCCTCTGTATAATAACAATAAATATATGTATCTTAAAAATATCTTTGTTAACCCACCGTGGTTGACTTTTCCATCACCGTCTAGATCTTCATCTTCCTCATTGGGCACACCGTCGCCATCAAGATCACCATCCTCTGAAATATTCAAAGAATTTATAAGAAACTGTGCAATTTTTAGGATTTACAATAAGCTGGATAAGATGCTGAAAATCAAAATAAGATTAAAGCGTTAAAATGCAACTATCTGAAAATCAAAAAGGCTTTTTAATTAAGCAAATTTCTCGTTATAAAAGTAAAAGCAACAAATAAACCTAAAAAATAAATATACAAATTAAAGCTTTTGAATTAGGCAAATTATTTTCATTACGCTATATAAAACGTGGACTAAGACATACCATGATTTGGGGTGCCGTCGCCATCTAGATCATCATCCTCTATAGAATTAAAGTAGGAATTTAATTAATACTGATATACTCTACTTAGATTCCTGGATCAAAAGCACTCACCGTGATTCGCCTTGCCATCGCCATCGATGTCTTCGTCCTTGGAGTTGGGCACACCATCCCCATCGATGTCCTCGTCCTTGGAGTTGGGCACACCATCCCCATCGATATCGTCGTCCTCATCATTCGGGATGCCATCGCCATCAATGTCCTCATCCTCGTCGTTTGGTATGCCATCTCCATCGATATCATCGTCCTTATCGTTCGGTATGCCATCCCCGTCAATGTCATCATCCTCGTCATCGGGAATGCCATCTCCATCCAAATCGTTGGCACTTTTCGCGTCCTCTGTGGAATCCAATTCGACAGTTTCAATTTCAATCGTCTCTTTCTAATCAACCGCGGATAGCCCACCATCATCGTCATCATCGTCGTCGTCGTCCCCACGTGGCTGATCGGATTGCAGTTCTCCAGACCCATCTCTGACACCATCTGAAATTATATAATGGAATGAGTTGTCCGCCGAATAGACCATAAATTGGGTGTTACTCATTTTAAAAGGTTTTTCTGTACTGCCGAAATGATATCATTATGATCTTTGGATATATCTTAATGGCACATTTAACGTAATTTATTATGTGGTATGTCACAGAACTTTTTTTATCCGGTTGGTTTAATAATACTGTTGAAAGAGATTTTTAGCAGTTCGTTTAATTGGTTTTAAAAAAACACTCAACATTTCGGTCTTAAAAAAAAAGATCACTCTATTTTCTTTGATTTATTATATTTTACATGTTGTTAATTAAATCAATGTTTGGTTATAATCAAGGGTGTTGGTACATATTAGACCTTATTATAGTTCTTAAATTATTATCCTTACCTGTTTTCAATTCATGTATGGCCTTTTCAATGTAGGGTCGACATTCTGATTCGCTTGGTCCGACATCGGCATTGACAAACCCAACTGAAATTTGTTGGAGGAAAACATGACAGGTCAATTTGTAATCGGAGTATGGCCCAGAAACCAGGAAGCCCTAGGAAAAGCCCTTAGCTATTTTCATCTCGTCACCCAAGAACAATGGACGCACTTTCTCAGTTTGATGTCAGCGCCATCGGCGAGGTCATTCTATCTGTTCAAACTTGACATTATTTATGGTACTCGCACTGTGCAAACATACACACTTCGAAATATATGCGGCGGATTTATGAATTTTATTTTTAAAAGATGAAAACTCAAACACATTTCGCCAGCTTGTGGATGAGTAAATTTCTATACCATTCTGTTGGCTGCTCGCCCACTTTGGCTTTACTTCTTTATTTTTGTTTCTCTTGGCCACCTTACTGCTCCGAAAATCCGGATGCGGGGGCGTACCATTTGCAATGGAATATTCTACATCTTCAGCATTTGCTTTTTGGTAATGTAAGGTCGTCTTTTGAGTGACGGCCTGGTGGTGAGGTCGCTTGGCTAATTACTTTCGTATTTTCAGACAATTAGGACAAATGTCTGACTGGGGCATATATCAGCCAACAACCTGGGTCCAATTAAACCCGATATAAATGAGTTTGCCTATCAGTTTTCAAATGTGCAGTTCGCCTGTCGGCAGATAATTTATTTGATTTATTTTAGGGCGTATGTGGGCAGGAAGCTATTTGAGCAATTTCGCATTTCATTGCTAACCGCATTGATAGAATTATTTATACAAATTTTGCCGACCGCCTGCCTGCATATTGTGTTTATGTTGCTGCAATCGAGCCCATCCCAACCCATAATATATATAGTAAACGGCATTTGCGCCATTTCTCATTTTTCAATATATTCCTTTTCATTTCTACTGTGGCTGTTTTGCAAACTTGAGCAAACCAAACAAAATATACAGAGACATTTCGCACACACGGGTGTGGAAAATAGATAGATGGAAAGCACTCGCTGAGCGCAAATAAAATAACTTAAAAATTTCTAAATTTAAAAATATTACAAACGATGACAACGAAGAGCGACCAAGCGGCGCACAAATCTCAGTTCTCCCCACAAAAAAAAAAAAAAGTCGGCAAACTTATATCTGTATCTGTATCTGCTACTAGTGGTTGGCCAAGTCAAGTGTACGGGGCTATACTAATATACCAATGCCCAAAGTGTCGTCCACTGACGTTTGCAGACACCAATACCGACCCAAAAAATATAGAGAACGCACAAACTCAGGCAAATATTTTTAAACGTATATTAATACATATTTCTTTTTTCAAACGTTTTCCTTCTGTTTTTCTTGGCTTTTTGTTATAAAATTGCATAATGCCTGCCCAGGCTGCGTGAAAAACTGTCAAGAATTTTCAAAAGCTCCACCTCGCCCTTTTGCCTTACATAACGAAATGGAAAGGGAGTATGAATATTAGAAAATTTCAGGATACTCACCATGATTGGAGACGGCGAATAACGTTAGTCCCAGGAGGAACCAAATTGTTAGCCGCCCCATAATAATCAAAACAACAAATTATCCTCGAGTTTCCAGCGTGGTTAACACTTTAGCCACGTCATAAATTCTCCTTGCAAGTTTTCCGTAATTATGAATAATTAGGGAAAATTAGAATTAACACTTCTGCTCGTATTCTGCATATATATGCATCCGCTATATATGCGCTCGTTTAAATGCACTAAATGAAAGAGTAAAGAATTTAAAAACCAGCGATTATTAAAGGCCAGAGAGCCAATGGATATTATTTTAGATATCTGAATGCGTATAGGATAGGATGTGTATTGGGAGTCTGGTGTTTATATATAGGATATATCTGAATAGATATTTAATTAGGCTCGCACAAATTTTGTCACAGTTTCAGTGGGTTTCCAATTTTGCACTTGTTCGTTATTTCTTTCACTTTGCAGATCGATTAGTTATTATTATCAATATTTAATATTTATTTATATTATTTATTTCAAAAGTTCTCGCGCTGCCGTTAGCAAAATTTAACCAACAATCATCGGCTGGGTAATCCTTAGTGTCCCTTTCGACGATTGTTAGCTAAATAATTTGCTTATTTCTGGCCGTCGTGGTCGTCTTCGTTTTGGTCGTCTGTGCACGTCGTGTGCGTGTCGTTTTTTGAACAGGGCCAGCTCGAATTTTCCCAACACCTATCACATCTATTTTCTATCTAGTCTGAAAGGAAGGAAATTTCGGTGTGCCGTACACGAGTATACGAGACGATCTCTCCCGGTCCAAAACCAATTCGTAACTCAACATGCATATACCATGAATTTACCTTGTGACCGCGAAAATTATTCGATTTTGATATTTTCGTAGCACGAATTTTTGTCAAAAGCACACACAGTTGAGTAAATGAGTGAGTGGGTTTTCGCCTAATGCTCTTTCAGTGTTTTCCATTTTCTTTTTCAATTTCCTCTCGCCGGGTGGCGCTCGCAGCTGGCATTTTGGGAACAACCCGGCGGATTCTTGGGATAAGCCTAAGGGAAATTAATAGCATTCTGGTCTATTTTTTAAATAATTTACCCGGTTTTTTGTATTTTAAACATGCTTTGATTGATTAGATATTTCCTTTGCAGTCGATCACTTTCTCTCTCAGCACTTTCGTTTTGGAAGAATGTTTAATTATAGACAATGCGGTGCTCATTCCGCATACAACTCGGAGCATCTTTCGAGCCAAAAAGAAAAAAATTTCGAAATCAAGTTTTTGGGCTCTTTGCGATTTGTTTCGTGTCACAAATGCTTAAGTTCCATTTCCCTCACGCTCTCCGCACATGAATTGAGATTATGAAAATCAAATGTTAAGGATTGAAATTATACATTTCGCTGTAGCATTTATCATTGCTCATTTGTATGGTTGATTGCACGAACAGCTGTTCGTTGGTTGTGTTCCAAGGCTAAAATCCTCGGTGCACCTCACCTCACGTCGCCGCGGACAAGTGAAAATGTGTCCCAAGCCATTGCGTTTATTAGCGCAATTAGAAATGGCAAAATGTTCGAACAAATTGCGGCAGGGCAGGGAGCATTACGTATACGTAATTTGTTCATTAGGGCGTTATGTAATACTCTTTCTGCCCCATCACGTATGGTTTTATTCTCGTAACGATTGCTCACACCTCTATTGAACGCATCATTTAGTACTTGGTTTATTGGTTTTTCAAATCATATTTATTTTTATTGTTTTCGTCTCGTCGGATAATCTTTTCGATCTTATTTATATTCCTACGATGCTATTAAATTAAAATACTTTAAGACATAATTCTATGTTTAAGCAAAGATTTTAAATTATTTATAAATATATATTTCGGGACAGTTAGAGGGCCTCGTTGCCCTCCTGCTTCTTCTTCATGCGGGTACAGTAGTAGCGATCGCTATTCTCGATCCAATCGCACACATTCAGGACCGTGTGGAAGGCCGTTCCCTCCTTGCACTCGAATTCCACGGGTTTGCCATGAACACACCGGAAATACTGTGGGAAAACAGTGGGTTATGAGTAATAAGTAATAAATAATATATAATTGTAGAAAGTAGTTAAATTTTTTCAGCTAACCACAGGATTGACTTTTGTTTGTTTGCCTGAAGGTATGCAATGATTTTTAGGGACTTAGAGATCTTGAGATAACTGATATTACTTTTAGGACTTATTTTGTCTGAAGCTAACTTATTTTAAACTAACCTTTCGACAGTTTGGATGCGGAACAAAGTCACGGTTGGTGCAATCGATTTCGCTGGGATCAAACTGGGGTTCCACCGGCTGCTCGGGATCTACAACTTCCACAGGCTCTTCGGTACTTTTTTCAGGAGCAGGAGTTGTTGTTGTGGTGGTGGTTGTTGGCTTCTTGGGTTTTTTCGGTTTCTGAAAAATTGCAAATGTGTTGAATAAATATCTCTTTAAAATTTTCTATGTCTAACACATTATATTAGTCTATCTAAACAAGTATCTGTTGATTACATTTTTGGATTAGACTTTTATTTGTTGTTCTAGCTTTTCCTGTATTTTTTACCTTAGTGGTTGGCTTCTGTGTACTGCTTCCCACAGTTGGCACAGGTGCAGATGTTGGGCTTACTGGACTTGAAGTTGGCTTAGGCTTTGGTTTTGGCCGCTTTGTTGTGGACGTCGTTGGTTCCGTCTGGACCACTGGACCCTCATCCGGATTTGGCGGAGTTGCTGGTGGCTTTGCCCACTCGGGCTACAAAAAAATCTCAGTTGCATATATATTAGAACAACAAAGAGGCAATTCTTACCCTTGGTGTTGTTTCCCTTGTTGGTTCCGGAACGCGATAGTTTTTCATGTTATCGTAAAGGATCTGCATCAAACCGTTCTTCTTGCCGCAGATTCCATTAAAGTCATCCATGTCGATGGCCCAGGTCATGGCGCCGGCGTAACCCTTTTGCTTGATAAAGTCCATCTTGATCTGGACGGAGGCCTCGTTCTCGTAGCCCACCCACTGGGTGTCCTTGTAGGTGAAGGGCACCATTCCGGCATCGTCCCACTCCACGGTCCATCCCTTTGACTTGTCCATCACCTCTGTGCAGATTTCATAGTAGGCCAGGAAGCCGCTGGCATTGGTGTACGGACCCGGAGCCCCGCCTCCCGCCTCCTTGTTGATGTAGGTCCCCATGTTGTAGTTCTTGTTCGAACTGCTCAGCGTGAAGGTCCGGCCGTAGAACGGGATGCCCACCACCAGCTTGTTGGCCGGGCAGCCCATCTCCTCCCACAATGCAAGGCCGTCGTTCTTGAATGGCGACGTTAATTAGTTTGGCACCACAATCAGCAGCCCATCCCCCTCTGAACCCCCCTGCTCATTCGATCGTTTCGTATCTCACTTACCACATTCAGCCGCTCGTAGGCGTATTGGTCGTGTTTTCGCTTGTACAGCGGACTGTGCACGTCAGCAAATCCGGCCCAATTTCCCCGCAGGTCATAGGTCATGGCGTGAATGGCGTCCAGCAATCTGCAATGGTAGACAATAAATCAGCAGGCTTGGAAGTTTCTAGAAACCATCCGACACTTAGAAATAATCAACGTTAAATTGAAAATTTTGAATGCAGAGTTTTAGAGAATGGAATCACAAGTCTTTAAAGGTATGCCACTTTGGAATCGGATTAAATTTGGAAAAGTTATGAACTCTAGAAGTCAAATTTTGAGTCACTCTTTTACATGACATCGGAAAATTAGAAATAACTAACATGAAAATGGGTCAAAAATTTGATCAACGATAAATTGAAAATTTTGAATGCTGATTTTTAGAGAATCGAATCACAAGTCTTTAGAGGTAAGCCACTTTGGAATCGGATTAAATTTGGAAAAGTTATGAACTCTAGAAGTCAAATTTTGAGTCACTGTTTTACAAGACATCGGAAAATTAGAAATAACTAACATGAAAATGGGTCAAAAATTTGATCAACGTCAAATTGAAAATTTTGAATGCAGATTTTTAGAGAATCGAATCACAAGTCTTTAGAGGTAAGCCACTTTGGAATCGGATTAAATTTGGAAAAGTTATGAACTCTAGAAGTCAAATATTGACAAGACATCGGAAAATTAGAAATAACTAACATGAAAATGGGTCAAAAATTTGATCAACGATAAATTGAAAATTTTGAATGCAGATTTTTAGAGAATCGAATTACAAGTCTTTAGAGGTATGCCACTTTGGAATCGGATTAAATTTGGAAAAGTTATACACTCTAGAAGTCAACTTTTGAGTCACTGTTTTACAAGACATCGGAAAATTAGAAATAACTAACATGAAAATGGGTCAAAAATTTGATCAACGATAAATTGAAAATTTTGAATGCAGATTTTTAGAGAATCGAATCACAAGTCTTTAGAGGTATGCCACTTTGGAATCGGATTAAATTTGGAAAAGTTATGAACTCTAGAAGTCAAATATTGACTCAATGTTTTACAAGACATCGGAAAATTAGAAATAACTAACATGAAAATGGGTCTTTACATGAAAATGGGTCAAAAATTTGATCAACCTCAAATTGAAAATTTTGAATGCAGATTTTTAGAGAATCGAATCACAAGTCTTTAGAGGTATGGAATCGGCCTAAATTTGATAAAGTTATGGACTCTATAAGTACAATTGTGGGTATCTTCAAGTCATCGGAAACTCAGAAATAACTAACATGAAAAAGAGTCACTGAAATTAAAAAACAGACTAATGATTCTAGCTTACTCGCACAATTCCGGAACATGGTAGCCTTCCTGCAGGCGGAACTTGGCCACCGGTACGGCCATGGTGATCTCCCATCCTTTGCCCTCGCGATCAAAGGCTCGTCGTAGCTCCTGAACGAAATACAGGAACTTGTCCTTATCCCCAAAGCTGCCACCGCGATCCGTGGCTCCGGGATACTCCCAGTCCAAGTCGAATCCATCGAAGTTGTACTGCTTCATAAAGCGTACCACACTGCGTATGAAACTCTGCCTGCGATCTCGAACAGCCACCATTTGGGAGTACTTGGAGCCACCTTCGGCCCAGCCACCCACAGCTATCTGAAGTTTCAGATTGGGATGGCTCTTTTTCAATTGTGTGAACTTGCTGAAACCCTTTTGATCGACATCCAAGTCCGGATCGATCACCAGGACATCCCAGCTCTTGTCGCTAACACCGATGAAGGAGTAAATAAGATGAGTGCACAGGTTGGCGGGCACATCCTCCAATCCATAGCGACCAATTCCAGGTCGGTATACGGCCCAGTTGCTAAAGTAGCAGACAATTCGAGAGGGCTGATCACTGGCCAAAGTTGCAACTGGCCAGGAACACAGCACTCCCAGGATGAGGAGCGCCAGATGATGCACTGAATTGAATAAGAAAAGTTATAGCATTTGGAATATATACAAAAATTCGTTGATCAAATAAACATTTAAAAATTAATTGTTAGAACAATTTTAAATTACAAAAATTAATTTGTAGAAATGTTTAAACTGGGATAATTTCACAAAACTATTTTTAGCATTAAAGGCTTAGCATTAAACACCTTCAAAGTTAAATATTTATTTTTAGACACGTTTGTTTTATTTAAGTCCCAAGAGCTTTCAGGAATATTCCGGGTTGCTTTGTTTTTTCTTGATAAAAACATCGTTAAAGCCTCTCCCGATTCCCAGTTACGACTTGTTTTTCGAGATCGGCGTGATGTGCATTTATAATTAAGTGTAGTCCGAGTCTCTTATCGTTTCACTGTTAGGGTCTGTGTTTATGGAACTGCTAAGGTTATGTGTCCATAATGCTGCACGCCCCAAGTTCATTCACCGATTTGCACTTTGTATGCACGGTCAGGCTTACCCATTTCTTAATGCTCCTCCACGAAACTTGAATATATCGTATATATGTATTTGAAATAGCCGGGAATCTCGAGCGTTGTGCGTGCGACGCTCGTTTGGCGTCAAATGACAGTCGAGCTCTGGATCAGCTCGACTTTTATAGTGGGAGGCGATGTCTCAAAATACTCTTTTTGCAGTCCGGTCCGGTTCTTGGATTCGATTGCGCCTTTGTTCCTGCGTAAAGTGCGTGAGAGGTGCGATTCTCCGAAGAATCGTTGGGAAAAAAAAGGGGAATGGTCGCGAAGGGGCGAAGAACGGGCTTTTGTGTTTCTGCTGACTGACTGTGCCCATTTCCAGATCAGTTTAGCTTGTTGTTTTGCCACTTTCTTTCCGATTGTTTTGCATTCGCATTTTATCTTACTGTCAACCCCCGCCGTTGTTTATGCTCTAGAATTACCATATTTCAGCCAAGGCCCCAAAGAAGATCCCTGTAAGTGGCCTGGATAATGTTACGCTGTGCGCATCCAGCTGTCCAGGCTTCGCTGCCCGATAATAATGGTAATGGATAGATACTCGTAACTTGTGGTTTGGGTAGCAACTTTAATGTCACAAGATATAAAATAGAATCGAGGCTAAAGTCTAGGTCGTTAGCCAATGCGAATGTCGATGGCCAGAGCGGGTTCTTCAGTGGTGGTGGAGCTGATGGGTGCCGCAGTGGTGGATGTGGTGGTGCTGCTAGTGGTGCTGGTGGTGGTGGTGCTGGTTGGGGTCGGAGTAGTGGGAGCTGCGGGTGGTGGAGCTACGCTATTTGGGCCGGGCTGTCTGGGGGTCTCTTGGGATCTCGATCCCGCGTTGTCTTCTGAAAATAATCATATCATTTATGGGTATCTTGAACTTAGATGGTTTTAAAAGCAGAAGAATGGTTTCCTTTATAAATATTTTTATTGATGTTTAAAGATTTACTTTTAAGTTACTCAAAGATGGTCAATCTTTCGAATTTTTATTAAGCATTCCTCAGAATATTTGAATAATTTATTAGTTGATAGAATCTTAGACTTAAAAAAATTACTTCGATAGGATTGTTTTAAAATAATTGTATATTGTATTATGAGATTCTTTCCTAATTATTTACGCTCAATTTTTCCAAAAACACATAGCTTGCAGTATTTGTGTAATCGTTTATATTTAACATCATTGTTTACAAGGCCATAAAATGAAATCAACAGAAGGAAAGCATGTTTATCTCAAAACAAGACAAACTTGGTTATCAAAAAGATAGTAAACGCAAGCTTTTAGCTAAATATAAGAACAAGCAATTAGATACCTGCTAAGAAATACTTTGTTGTTATCATACTGTACTAAAAAGCAAACAAAGAAATAAAAAAAAGGGTCCATTAAAAAAGTATGCAATATGAAATTCGTTACAGCGGGTAGCAGCAAAATGAAATTGAAAGTAATTTACGCTTTAAAATGTTACTTTTTAGTGGACAATAATAAACTAAATTCTGTTTTCTTAGTCAACAAAGTTTACCTTTGAAAGGCTCCAATTCCGCCTTAAAGGGCCGCTGGTGCTCCTCATATTCCGGGGCTCCAAAGGTGTTTGGAAACGGTTCGAAGCCATGTGGCTCGAATCTGTGGGGTGGTGGCCCATAGGTTGGCGGTCCATGTGGTGGATGCTCAAATCCAAATCCTTCGTGGTGATGGTGATGGCAGTCGGGACCCGGAAAATGGTGATCCCAGTGCCGCTTGTGGTGGTGGTGTTCGTGGTAATTGCCGTCCCCGTGATGGCGACGGTGCCGATTGTGCTGTACTGGCGCCGATTCCTCGGCCAATAAATCTTGGCTGGTGAAGGCACTGAAAACGGGAGCAAAAAAAAAAAAAACAAGGTGAAGCGGAGAAAATACGGGGAGAACAGATACGAGTACTGACGCATTCTCGATTCCTGGGAACGGTGCAGCCTGGAGCTGCAGAGTCTGCGAGCTTATCACGGCGAACAGCGCCAGCTGTGTGAAATATGCGATTGAAATGGGGTTGCGCTGGGCTGGCAATTTACGGGCTGGACTTACACGGACGGAAGCGGAGGCTAACATACTGGTATTCTGAATCCCTTGGACTGCTCCAGTTCAACAGTTTATCTTTCTTGAACGTTTCGCGCGAACCACACTCTTTAGCCGCAAAACATCGACTAAATCTCGCGGGACGACTCACTTTATTCCGCACAATTAATACTTGGACAATGTCGCATATCGGGGGTTTTATCTGTTGCTCCCTTACTCACTCAGATTTCGAGTTGCTTTTGTCCGCATCATCTATAAACCTGATCGGTTTAATTCAGGTTTTTCATGCCCCATCCGCATTTACATACGCGTCTACACTCATAACACGGTTGTCTTTTGAGCGCTATGTAATTAGTCCAGCCTGCAATGGGTAAATGCTTATGCGGGATAGCGTTCAAAACGTACAAACGTACATTAATTGCCACTTAATGTGACAAAGTGTTGTTAATTTTGCGGTCGCTCATTGGGTGAGGTTGTCCGACAAAGCGAAAAGCTAACAAATTAACGCATCTGTCGCAAATTATTTGGGAATACACTTAAGAAAAATATCTGGATATAGGTATAATCTTTTCCATCTATTTTAGAATCGAGATTCAATCAATTGTAATATATTTAGTTTACAGGGGTGGTCAAAAATATTTGCACATTTCTTATGAGTAATTTGTGCAAATACTTTGATAACAATTTCTCTCATTTTAATACATTTAAAACAAATTAAATTAATATTCAAAAAATTTTCTGAAAGGTATAGATTATTTAAAAAAGTAATTTATAGAAAACGTTCAAGCAGAACTAAATTTTGGAATCTTCTCATAAACTTTTCTTGAATCAAGAATTTAATTTTTAGCTTAAACCAAATAATACCAAAAAGGTTTAGTTTCAAGTGTACTTTGAATATTGAAACCAATTTCACTATCATTGAGCACCTTAAGGCGATTCGCTAAGCCACAAGAGTCACGATTATGGTAATGTGATATCGAACTGCGATAAGGCCGTGTTTAGAAAGTTATCGAAAGCTCCACATTTAACCCTATATGTCTATCTACCCACCCACACAATGCCGCAGAGCCAGCTGCTGCGACGATTTCTGGGTCTATTTGTCATGCCAGAAGCGTTGGCCCAGAGAACAATTCAAAATAAATATACATATAATGTTGAGCTGTCGCCGGCTGGACTCATTGTGATTCACGACGACGGAGATTCCGCCCCTTAACATTGATCTTGAATTTGGCCGGCAATTGGAGCCGACATTCGTCATAAGGCTGGTCAGCAATAAGTGACCAGTCGAGTTCCTGTTCCGTAAAACCTTCGGGCTGTTACAATGGAAACAATGGCGCATTTGAATTTTCAACTATAATCTTTATTGATAACATTTCTCGTTCGCACTTTATCGTCTTCAACTCTTATCATATTATGACGTACAGTTTTTATGTATATGTTTATGTATATTTATATATATATGCAATAAATATTTGTTGAGTGTGGATTCTTGCTTTAATGTTTTTCCCTCCTATTCTCGGTACGTAGGGAATATGCGTGCTTCTATGCCTGGTGCAGTAGCAATTTTAAGCCGACAATCTACATTTCTGACGGTGTCTTTATATATATAGTACTTTGACTTTGCCATATATTTTCTGTGGGTGCACGAACTTAAGGGAAAACTTGAGAGAAAAATAATTTACATATACACATCCATATAGCACCGCGAAATGTACAAATAACTTGTGGAATTATTGGGAACTTAGCGATAATGATAAAAGAACCTTAAACCATACATAGCAAATAGATAATAACAACTAAAAACTATGAACTTAAAATATATTTTTGTACAATTTTGCAGGGATCGTTTTCATTTAGATTCTCCTCTCTATTAACAATTTATCGTCGTTGTTCTTGTGGGTTAGTACGATTATTTTTGTATGTATAATTGTGAATAGAGCTATGCGATTTTATTAACTTTTAAAGTTACATAGACATTAAATTCAACCAGCGATTGCGTATAATTTTATCCATTGACTTGTATTGCAATTGTTTAAAAACATTCATCAACATGATCAAATATTTGATTTCAACCGCTTCCCTTTAATTGCCTGGCTAATTGACCTACATTTAAATAATTATGTGTACGTTTTTGTATATTATAGCATTATGCTCGTTTAAATATGTATAGCTTTAAATTAATATATGCATGTCGTAATTCAGCGTTGCCTTTTATATATTCTCGTTTCAATACAATTGAATTATATTTCCTCACTTGTGTGTATTAATATTAATCCATTATTTATAATTGCGATAGGTACATATTGGGAAAAGTTGCGAAGGTTCAAAGTGCTTTGAGTGCGCTGTGCGTTCTATTTTCTGACCTATAGGAATGATGATATCGGGTTCGGATTCGAGTCCCTAACTAACTGTTTGATGCCACTGCTGTTGATATTTTGCTGACTGATCTTAAAAACTTGTTCATATCAAATGCATTAATATTGGCTCCAAAAGTGGTTCACTGCTTCTTGGTTGGTTGGTTGATTTTTGTTCCTTTGTAGAGAAAATGCGCTACTCTCGAAAAGTCCGTTACAAAAGTCTTTAAAGTTATTGTATTAGTTGTCGTGAATAAGTTTTGACCTGTCCATCTACTTTGTAAGCCTTTCAGGAACGTATTTGATTCGCCTCAACTCCGATTTAAATCGTACATAATTGCTGACCCTATGCGGATATACCAATCGATTTTCCTACAGTTCAAGAACGCTCGCTAATTGTGTGTAATTGATATCGTTTGAATGACTTGTAACACGCTTACAGTGATATGTTGAATCTTTGATTTCCATATTGTATATGTTGTATATATATATAATAATATGCTTAGTATCATTTACGCAATAACAATCGCCTCACAAAAATTCGATAATTTCCCCCACCTCTGATTTATATTTCTCCATAGTCTTTTCAACAGATATTTGACGCCCCTATAACTCAGTCACATTTAAGAATTGATACGATTTTCGGTTAAAATTGTTAGCAAATTTCATAGTTTGATTCTCAAGATAAATGCAGCGGATATTGTGCCTGAATAATATATATTCGCTAATCGGAGTTAGTTAATTAGTTTACGTTGTCGTTTAGCTGTAAAAGTTGTCGCGTTGTTGGAATATCGGCAGTGGGTCGCTTGGTGACTCCGATCGGTGTTCGTCATCCTGATTCGATCTCTCGGCCGCCTTCGACATGGCTTTCTCTGTGGGTTGACAAAAAGGGCATAAAGTTAGTTCACCAAGTCTGAAATGTATATTTTCTTAGACCAAAAACCTTCCCAAGCGTGCTGTAAAAGTTTGAAGTATAAAAAGTACACCGATAACCATTTGGAAGTATATATAGTGTGTGTTTGGTTCGTGTTTTTTTTTTTTTGGTTATTTTTCTTAACTTTTTGTTGTTGTTGGAAGTGTGTTTTTGCTGCTACTCCTGTCTTAGCTGTTTTGTTAGTGCTTTGAGCTTATACTTACTCGATTTATCGCTTCTTGACTCTTTTCGACAACTTTTATACGCGTGTTAGGCAGTGCAGAAATTTAGTTTAGAAACTAAGCCATTTGCATGAAATTGGTTTTCAAAACTTTCGCAAACATTTCTTTTAAAATTGGATTTTACTTGAATTTGACACTTTGTAACTTTTGGAAAATTTAAATTTATATGGTTTTGCAAGGAATTATTACTTATTTATACAACCTACTGGAGTGGCTTTTAAAATGATTTTTCATTGATTCTTTTTCCTTTAAAACTTTGAATAAAATGTTTTTATTTTTTACTAATGGTATTTATTAATTATTTTCTAACATTTCTTTTATTATTATTTTCTCCACTTAATCCCTTTTCTTTCTTAACTTTCCAATATATTTGCACTTTGGTGAAAACATTAAATTCTGTGCTCATTTTGGTGGTATACTAGTTTTGTTGATTTTTGAGTGTTTGGTAAGTTTTGCTTGTGTAAGTTTCAGTAGTTTTGTGTTGGAGTGCAATTTTCATTTAATTCTTAAAATCTACAATTATAATTATGGCGTGCAGGTTGATTAGTTTGGCCAATATTTTATTTCTAGGCTAAGCAAGGTTTTGGGCGTGATTACTTATAGAATGCATGGCCTGGAAGCTACAATACTCGGATATTGTTTATTTATGAATATTGTATAATCGAAACGTGTACAAACCTGGACTTACGCAATCGTATATCTGTTGTTGTTGTTCTTGTGCTTGTTGTAGTTGTACTTGTTCTTGTTGCTATTGCGTTGCTGTTTATTCTTGTTGTTGTTTTTTTCTTTTTTTTATTGTATTTTTAGTATTTTTGTTGTGAATTGTTGCGTTTTGTTTGGAGTGAGTTGTTTTTGTGAGTCTAGCATGCTGTAAATCTCAACTTCGCGTGTGTTCTTGTTTGCTGTTATTGCTGTAGTTACTGTATACTTAGGTGTAACGTACTAGGTATGCATATTTGTATGTTTGGTATGTTTCGAACAACAAATTGAATTTATCGCGAATCGTGATGCAAAACCCTTTCAGTTATCGATTTGCAAAACACAACGTGAACAAAAGGTAAATGCAATGCAAGGGTAAACACAAAAGGTGAACGGAAACAACTCGACAGGCTACTTTCGGATTAGTTGTGACTAGTGGGATTTCCTAGAAAAATATGCAAAATAAACAAATAAACATGTAAAATTAAACACAAATGCAAATACAAAAATTATAAAATCATAAAATTAGTTTGTATGTGTTAGTTGTATAATAAATATTTCTTATAAGTGACAAAAATCACATTTAATAAACTCCCCGACTGCTTAAAAATGTTTATAACTTTTAAATAAAGTACAAAATCAAACGTTAAAAAGTGATAATTTAATTGAGGAAGAAAACCACTATGGAATTCAATTTAAATCCATTTGGAATGAAATTTTTCGTTGGAATTTATTTGAACACTCTTCTTTATTACAAACTTTGTTTTAAATTGAAATTCCCAAGAACTCCTAGATTGATATGTTTTGTGGGCCGGCTAACACTGCGTATGCGCAATATGCGAATTACACAATCTTGCGTTAGTTCATATAACTCTCATCGATGGTTACTTAATTTATTATTAATTATACATAAACTGGTCAGGTGCAGATGCGAATGCGAATGCAAGAATGGGGGCAATGTAGGCCACAGGTTTTGAAATGTATGATTGACTGTTGAGAGTGTCTGAAGTGTGGGTGGAGGTGTGTCATTGTGAGAAAGGGTTATGAACTTGGACGACGCCGGTGAGCACGCAATGAGTTGGGGGGCATGATCTTAGAATTCTTATTCGAACGGGGGCTTAACACTTTACGTTAGATGGTATGCATATGATATGTATTATCATTAATCATCTAGAAATCAGAAAGAGTTGAAAGAAGATACATATATAGAGATTAGAAGAGCATAGAGTTGACAGTTTGAAATGGATGGGTCTTCTGGCATGGTTAGATTACACTGAATACATAAAGGTAGATGACTCATGGGTCTATATGTTCGATTTGGAGAGCATATTAGTAAAAGAACATAAACATGGAACATAAACTCAACTTGCAAGGCATTGCTTATACATTAAAATTGGGATTTTCTTTGGGATATCGATTGGAACTTAACACAAAGGTTATCTGCTGGTAAGAGACCTAAATGACTCCGTGGTTGACTGAACTTACCGGCCACAATCTTGCTGACCTGCATCACCTGCTGGGCCAGGATTTGGTTGAGTTGCAGCAGATGTTCGCGCTGCTTCTTCTCGGCGGTGATTTTGCTCGGCGGCAGGCTCTCATTCTCCTGTTGGTATAAATTAATTTATAATAAACCTATATTAACATATTGAAATTCAAGACTTACATTGCTGCTAATGGGCGCCTCAGACAGCATTTTCTTAATGGACTCCACCTTCTCCTGACGACGCTTCTTCTCCTCCGGCGACAGTTCCGGCGTCTATTATTATTATTATTAGTTATTGTCATAAACAATGTTTTAACTAGTTAACTCACTGTTTCTGGTATGTAACGCTCGGGTATGACTATTTTGTTCGGTGCCAGCAGCAAGTTGTCAATGGTATTCTCCGAAATCTTTTCCCCCTGTCCCAAAGCAGAACGAACCACATCGGGGGCATTCATTCGAGGTCTCAGGGCCACCTCCATGTCCAGATCGTCACGAGCTCGCCAGTTTGTGTTCTAAAATACATAAAACAAAAATTAATTTAAGATCATGCAAGTTTTAAATCATTAGACATCAGAGTTTAAGATTTTAAGAGACTAAAATTTGTCAGTTTCAGCTACCACTTACATTTCGATTCATATCGTTTTCGGCCTGCACCTTCTCCATGGCCTTCTGGTTGACATTGTTTGGCGCAGTGTAGTGTCGCCTCTTCTCCCTTGGCACCGCCCTGCGATGTTTGTGGTGCGGTGGCACCTTCTCCACCACCTTCTCGGTGTCCTCCGATGCCGAACCGGCGGACATTTCGTTGATGATCTGGCGGGCAGCCACGCTCTGGAACACTGGCTCCGGACTGATGTCCGTGAGGCTCTTATTGAGGCTCTGCAGCGAGTCCGTCTTGGTCCTCAGAGCCACGCGGGCACTGTCCCTCGATGGATTCACCTGCTGCTGTAGCTGCTTTGCGAAATAGGCATTGGCCAGGGGATTGAGGTGCTCCCGCTGCTCCCTTTGCGAGTGATGATGGTGACCATGTCCATTGCTCTGCGGTGCCGGTGGTGGCGGTGGCTGGTGCTCATAGTTGCTGTTCCGATCGTAGTCGTAGCCACCATTGTAGTGGTGACCATTCTGCTTGCCATTTAGATGGCGACTGTGTCTCTGTTTCGGGGGCTCACTGTAGTTTCGGGGCAGCGACTTGGAGCGACTGTGGTGGCCATTGCTCATTTGCTCCTCCAAGTTCTGGGCGTACAGCTGCTGCTGCTGTTCCCTCTGCTGCTGGGCATACTGCTCCTCCTCCAAGACCTGATCCAGATTCTGGATGGAGCTGCTCAGACCCCTTTCACTGCGATCGCGATTTCTGCGTTCCGATTCCCGTTTCACAATCCTCACCGTCTTGATCTCCTGTTTCTCCAGGCCAAGGGCGAATGGATTGCTGTCCAGGAAGCCATCGCTATCGACTCCACTCATCTCCAGGGCATCGCTGCTCCCACCGCCATTATATCGATTGTAGTCACTCAACTTGGTCGAGCTGTTCGTGTCCACATAGAGGGGCGTGGATAGGTTCAAAGTGGAGTCATTCAGCTGCTGGCGACTTCCGCATCGCATCATATTGGCATCCAGATCGGTTTCCGTCCAACTGGTGGAGTTGCTGCGCTTCTTCAGACTGCCATTGGTGGACCCGCCGCCGTTCATCTCCTTGTTGCCAATCTCCTGGTACAACCTGGTCGAGTTTTCCGTCAGCTGGCGAACAGCAGAGCTGAGTTCGTGACGCTGTCTTTGCATATCGCCCACCAGGGATTGCACACGCTCCAGTTCCGAGGCCAAAACGGCGGCAGTCTGATCTCCATTGACGTGGGAGCCATCGCCACCCATTCCATTGGTGGTCGCTCCTCGGGTGGCCTGCACCTTCTGGCGGAGGAGGAGGAGCTCCTGCTCCAGGCGAGCATTTCCCGCCACTGTCTGCTCCAGTTTCTGCAAGGTAGGATTACGGATTAGTTGGGTGGCTCTCTCGTTTGGCAATGGCACATGCAGCAGAGGCCACAAACATGAGAAGTCTTTTGCATTAATCCCACTATCTGAGCTTTGGAAACTGCTCGTTGCGTTTTCCCTTTCATAAACAAATAAGCTTATACCGGGTAATAAAAAAAAATGCTCTTTAGCCCCTTTCATGGTGAACACATATCCTTTGATTACATTTCATTTCGTTAAATTGGATTTTTTTCTTTTTATTAATTAGCTAAATTCAATAAACTAATATTTGTTACTTTATTTCATAAAGAAACCAATCTCTTTGGCCAGATGTCGAAAATTGTGTGTATTTGTATTTATTTAATTAAACACATAAAAAGTAGGAATTAAAAAACTTGTTGATTTAAAGTTGGTAAATAAAAATGTGTTTGATATTCAGGCCCAGAATAAAGAAAAATATAAAAATAGGGTGAGTTTGATTGCAATAAAATTTGTTGAATAAGCTAAAAAAAATGTCGTTTGCATTTCAAAACGAAAAACCCCATTTTTAATCCTTTCTATATGGCTCATTCTTTAACTCTTTACTCATGGATACCTGTTTGTATGGAAATCCTTAAGAAATTAGTTGTTGGTTAGTTACATAAGCGACATGCGAAGCTCAAGCAGACAAATAACACGCAGCTGGACACGAAATGCAAAAAACTTCTACTAGGCACCTTGGATACCTTTGAGTTCTCGGCCAGCAGCTGATGGACCCGCGACAATTCGCGTTCCAGGATGTGCTGCTGCTTCTTGGCCGCCTCCAGGGCCATGGGCGTGGCATTGCTGTCGTGGATGCGGGCCCTCAATCCTCCCAAGGCACGCTCGAGGTCCTCCTTGTCGCGCTGCAGACTCTGCAGAATGCCTGACTCCTCCTGCAGCAACTGATCCAGTTGGTAGAGCTCACGCACCTTGGCCTGAATATGGGAAAAATAAATGTCATAAAAATACACTCTATTATATAATACAATGATACAAATTACATAACAAATTTGTCTAAAAAGCTCTGTGTTGAAAGTTTTTAGTTAATTTTTCTTAATTGTAAGGCTTTGTCAATTCAAGTTTTTAAGTCTCTATTTCTGCACTAACATAATATATATAATTGCAGACCAATTAACCTTGTTTTGTAGGTGTACAATTTAATATTATTTGACTTCTTAAATAATTTAAATCTTTTTGTGTTATTATTTTTGTTGAAGATTAACTTAAAATAATCTTGGAAGCAAACATACCTGTAACTCAGCCTGATTGGGACTGAGGCGCTCCCACTGCTGCTGCTCCTCCTGGAGCATTTGACGCTCCTGCATCCGCTGATTGAACTCCAGGCGATCCAGAGTGGCTGGTTGGACTCTGCCATTGGCATCGTTTCGGTACAGCGATCCCAGTTTGACCATGTTGTCCACCAGATTGACCAGCGGCTTGCTCTTCTCGTAATGCCGTTCCAAATCCAAAAGGTGCTGCTTCAAGTAGTCCAATCGCTGGATGCTTTCGGCTCTAGTCAAACCCTCGGCACTTCGCAGGCGATTCTGTGGGGGATTCCATACACAAATAGTAAGTCTATGTGCTTTCAAAGGTATTTGTATAAGCCAAAAGTTAGTTAGACAAAATATAGAGTAAGTCACAGAACCAGCACCAGAAGTTAGCCAAAACCGCCCAACGATAAACATAGAATTCATTTGTTTATCCACCTGCACATCGTGAATATCGCTGCAACACTGCTCAATGGCTCTGGCAGTCTGGCTGCTCTGTCTCCTCAACTGGATCAGCAGAAGGACCAGCTCCTCGTGGGTGCGACTCAGCAAATCCCCGGCTGACACATCCAAGTTCTGTGGGTTTCGTGAAAATATTAGGTCTGGCCCTCAAAATTACACTCCTAATACAATAACTATTCCAATTAGACAATGATCTTAGTCCAATTTTAAGTTTAAGTTTCAAGTTAATTTCTCAAGAATAATTATATGCTTTTTTATGAATTTTTCTCAGGCTCAGAAAGTCGACTAATATTTTTTTTAAATTTTATGGCAATCAATAAAAGTGAAATAAATATTTGTTGCTTTTTCAGTTTAAATTCCAAAGATTAGATACAATTTGGCTGGAAACTCGAAATCGATCGAATGGCACTTTACTTAATAGCTTTCGAATATCTTTAGTTGAAGCAATTTGGTTTTAATTGGTAGCAATAAATCCACACAAATTACTAGTTTTAATTAAAATATATATATGATATCCAATGCTGGTCGTAAATGGGTAATGTTTATTGTTTGACTTAAAGTCCGAACGAATAAGGGTAAAAGTGAGTTAATAGTTATTTGAAAAATTAATACAAATAAGTTATGTTTATAATTTTGATGGTCTTGAATGTATAACCTATATATTAAATGCAATATTTATGGCAGCATGTCAACAAATTTCCATTGATTTTTTAGATATTTCTTTCGGCAAAAGCATAATTACGCAAATTTCTTCCATTTCATAAATTCCGTTTTTAATTCCTGGCTCTAATTTAATACGCACTGTAAAAGTGAAAAGTGTTTGGCATAAAAATGTCAAGAGTTCAAGCGTATTGTGAGTTTTAAATGTAAAATAATTCTGCACTTTTCATGAGTTTTAACCCTCAATGGACTTACCCTGATCTGGCTGCTCGTCTCGCGCTCCAGCATATCGATTTCCGCCCTACTTCCGGTGCGGCGCATCCGGAATTGCTGATGATTTTGGGGCGTGGATGTGGCCAGTCCGCCTCCGTTTCCGGCGTAGAGTCCGCGATCCGTGAGCACGGTGTTCTTGGCGTACTTCGTCTCCGCCGCTCCGCCGTAATACGGTGCAAAGGCCGACTCCTGCTGGACATCCGAGGGATCCGGCTTGACCGTCAGATTTCCCACCGGCAAATTGTTCACATTGCGCACCGAAATCGAGGCTACAAGTTCGAAGATATTTAATTAGACAAATATTTCGAATAGTCAATGGACGGGGGCTTAAAATAGTTTCAATGCGTGCGCGAAATATTTAGGAAAGCAATCAGTTATCTGTTAGCGAATGCCCAGCAGTTGTACGGAATATTTAATTTGGCTTGTAATTTGTGGCTCTGTTATTTCTGTTTTATTTATTCTCTTTGAGGGTTTTAATATGGCTACAGGTGTGTAATAAAATCATTGTAGCATATATATAATCTGTGGCTGCGACTGCAGCTGCTGGCTCTCCTACGGCTATTTGTAACTGCCCAAAAAAAGTATCTATCTATGGATTTGTTCAACTTTACAGTGTGGCAGATGGGTGCTTGGGTGAGTGAATGTGAGTGAGTGGCGTATGTACAAGCGATTCAATGACTTAATGAGATAAGTGGGTTTGATAAATAAATATAAGTTTGCTTACCAGTTGATTAATTAAACAAAACACAACGCAACACAACAATAATGACAACAACAACAACAGTGACAGTCAACAAAACAAATAGAGCACACTATCTAACTAGAAAACATGATGGGCAAACAGACACATAAAATAACTCCACAGAGTGCACACCAAAAATGGCAAATGGAAAACGGAAAGCTAAATTGAAACTACGGAAAGTATTGCTTATTTTTTGGATGGATTTTCCCAAGGGGGGGGGGATGGTGGTTTCTGTGGTAGCCTCATTGGTTGTTGTTCGTCCTCAACATTTGCCCCGTCGCCATGGGATTGCCATTGGCATCCTCGGTGGCACTATTGTTCAGCTGATGGACGATGGAGCGCACACTGCTGGTGAGGGGCAGGTGAGGAGCTGCAGCACCTGCTCCTGTCGCTGTCGTCCCTGTGGTTTCCGTGCCGCTGTGGTGGCTCTTCATTAGGCCACTGGACATGGCATCCCACTGGCGGATGGTCTCGCGATCCAGCTCGTTGGATTTATGCGACAGATTCGAGGCAGTGTCCTCGCGCAGCACTTCGTAGACATCGGAATCCGTTTGGTCCTGGCTGAGCGAGGAGCTGTCCAACAATTGCACATAGACATCGTGCTCATTGCTCACTGGATGCTGGCGGGGCTTCTGGCTGTCATTCACATAGGTCACCTCGCGACTCAACTTGACCTTGGGCGTGCTGGTGACAGCGGGCGACGCTGTCACCGTCGTGATCCTGTCCAGATCGTCCAGGGATCTCGCATGCCTCTGCGACACCCGGCGCAGACTCTCCCGCCACAGCGCATCCTCCTCCCAGAGCAACTCGCCACCTAGAACTGAGAGGTTGGGATGGACATTATTCGACGGGGTCTTGCCGACGACTGCCTCCTCCGAATTTTCACCAGCACCATCGTTAGGGGTTCCATCATCCGACGGGACGCTACCACCAATCGTCTTACGAGCGAGATTTGTGTTTTTAGTAGTTGTGAATGGATATGAATGGACCACCGGACTTAGTGCACCACCACTACCGCTGCTCTCCGGCAGCTCCACCGATTCCACCAGCTGCCTGTTGTTGTTCAGCTTGAGCTTCTTGTTGCTCAGCTTCTCGTTGTTATCCTTCTGCCCGCAGTAGATGTTCTTGCTGTCGATGGCCTGATCCTTCTCCACCAGCGCATCCACATTGAACTGATGCCGGTCGATGGGGTTGTGTATGTGGGCTATATTCAGGCCGTGGGCATGGATATCACGCTGATTGTTCAACGGCGGCGGTGCTGGTAGCTCGGAATAATAGTATGGAGCCGACTGGGTGGATATATTGCTGTTATTCCGACTATGTATAATCCGTAGAGCAGCTGCTCCACTTTCACCCAACTGCTGAATGGAATCCGTGGAGGAGATGAAATGTATATTGCCGTAGAAATGCTGCTCCTCGTCCTCGGCATTGCGGAATGTTTTCGGTGGCTTGATGAGATTGGTCAGGATATCGGCTCCTGCAGCTGCATTGGCATCATTGAGCAGGTGACTGGTGGGCGTGGCTTGTCCTGTGGACAGGTGCAAGTGACTCAGGTAGGTGTCCAGTTCATGGCTACTCAACGTCTCCTCAAACTGCTCGCTCAGCGACTCGATCTCACTGATGGACTCCTGGGAAAGTGGTCTCCTCGATCGCTGACGATCCAATTCAGAGTCGGATCTCTGCCGGAATTCCACAGACTCATTTTCACTGCTCAGGGGAAGGGAATTATTGCTGGTGCAGCGCTGCTGCTGCTGGCCCCTTCGTCGATATAGATCCAAGTCCGAGGAGGTTCGGGAACTGCTGTTGTCCGTCAACTGGCAACTATAGTTGGAATCGGACAAAGTGCGGGCATGATGTTGCTGTGGAGGCGTGACCGTGACCAGTAATCTCTGAGGTGTGGCTCGCACCTTGGTAAAGTGATCGGGTAAGGAGAGACGACTACTTTTTAGGGTAGGACTTGGAACAGCCTTTGGCAAATTCAGCGAAGTATTGCTGGCATGCATCTTGGGCAGTTGCTCATACGAGATGTTCACTTTACCATTGCTATCCTTTCTCTTAACCGTATCATAGTGTTCGGAGGAGAATATCTCCTCCGTTTTGAGCTCCTCCATCGGAGGTGGTGAGTCGGGAATCGGAGGTGGTGGCAGTATCTCACTGTCCGAACTCTCTGCATAATTGTTCAGCGGCGTAGAGGCGCCTAAATAGTACGAAGCTGGCCTAAAGGTATCCGACAAACTGAATCGTGATCTGGAGCGCAGTTTCTTGGCCTCCAGTTGCTGCCTGCTGCTCTCATCATCTGCATCCGAACTATCGCTGGCCAGAGCCAGTGCACTCTTGGCTGGCTTAAGGATATCCGGCATGTCCTTACCCTGCCGCTTTTTGGTCTTCTTCTTGAGGGTCTCACCTCCCGATTTCTTGCCCTTCTTCAGGGTGGAACGACCCGAGGAGCAGTGGGCTTCCTCGTTGGCTGCACTCTTAACCCCTGCCAATTCCATATAGACGGGCTCTGTTTTTGTCGCGGTTTTGAAGGCACTCGCACTAGTGCTGGCCAGGCACATTATCTCGTAGTTGCTCTTGCTATCCTCGTCCTCGATCCCCTTGGTCATCTCCACATAGTGGTTCTCCTCCTCTTCGGCGAAGGTTTCGTGTGTGGAAATGAGGGTGAGGACACCTGGCTGACCCAGTTCCACTTTCTTGGGCGTCATGGGCAGATAGTGACTCTCGTCGAATTGCTGGTCGGTGGGTGTGATGGGCTCGTTGACATATATCTGCTGCAGTTCTCTATCCTCATCCAGGTCCTTTTCTGCTGCCCCAACGACAGCCTCATCCTCATCATCCTGAGCCAGGGCTTCGTCTATATCATCGTCGGTATACTCCTCGCAGGCCGTGCTCTCATCTTCCTCGCCCTCGTCTTCGTCTTCGTCCTCCAGCTCAGGTTCATGTTCCTCCTCATGTGATTCCCTATGCTCCTCACTTTTTTCTTCCTCCAAATACTCCTCCCCAGGAATGGGCTTACTTTCCGCTGTGGGGGTCAGGTCCTCCTCCGTTTCTTGTTGCTGCTGGTTCTGCTGCTGCTGCTGCTCCTGCTGCTCCTTAAACAACTTCAGTTGCATCAGCATGGGCGTCTCCTCGGGATCGGTAATCGCTGCATTGCTATCTGGGGTTTTGCCTTCGGCCATTGGCTTGCCAAACTCCATGTTTTCATAGTTGCTGACCAGCTTATTGTTGTACACAGGCACATAATTTGCATTCTGCGGCGACTTGGGGGCTGTTTTCTTTGGCAGAATGGGAATGGGAATGGGCACCTCCTCGCTCTTCCTCCTCCAGTTCAACATCGTCCAGCTCATTCGCCTTGGGCAATTTCAATCTGAGTTTGAGCCGCTCTTCGGGCTGTTTGGGTTGCACCTGAATAATGCGGGTTTTATTGGCTTCGTGCACTTTCAAAATGGGTTTTAGTTGGAATTTCGCATTGCTGGCTTTAGGTGATGATGATGATGATGATGACGATGCTGTTGGCTTGGGACTCTCTAAATTTCTGCTACTACTAAAGTTTGTTATTGCTAACGCTGTTGTTGTTGCTACTATTGCCTGTGATGTCGTTGTTGTTTTTGACGATGACCTTCCTGCCGTCGCACTATACAAGTTATCATCCACAGGCCCAGCTGCGATTCGTGCGTTTTGTTAATGTTTTTGCGAGTTTTCGGTTTTCGTTCATTGTTACATTTACAGCATTTACAAATTGAGATATTGTTTTTTTTTTTGTTTGTTTAAGAGTTACCAAATTCAACGTATACACAATGTATTATTTATATATGTATGGAAAAAGAAGAAATATAAAACATATTTGTATATCTTGCTGGTTGGAATGTAATTCAAATCAATCAAATGGGTGGTCGATTGCGCTATGAGCCCAGATTGAGTTTGAGTTTTAATTGGTTTTTGTTTTATTTGTTGTTTGGGTTTTAGTGCGAAGTTTACAGCGGCATTTAGTAGTGGAAATACCAAGCACCCGGTTGTCATGATGGGAAAACGTATATATGAATGAAACAAATCCGAAACGAAACTACGCCAAAAATGTTTACTAAACCCATGAAAGATAGAGATTTCAAAAAAAAGAGAGAGATTTATGGACTACAGAAATATTGGTTTTTCGGTTTACCCTCCTTTTTCCATCGAACATAATCAAATAAAAAAAAATTGTGTTTACTTTTTGATTTTATGTAGTTTTTGGGCCAACGAATTTAAACGTTGCCAGAATTTGGTTTCATGTGTTGCCTACTTTTTGGCAGCGATTCTAAATTGATTACTCGATACTTTTCAATTTGCCTCTGTGTGTGTGTCTATGGATTTGTATTGTGTTCGTGTGCGCACGGCAGGAAGGTATCTTTGTTTGGTTTCGATTTACGACATAAATTGCTTTCTGCTGTCTACATTCAAATTAACCATATTTATTATAACATAAAACAAGGCCACAAAAAATTGTAAAACACACAAATATTAACTACATGAAGCTTTTAATTGTTTAGTCTGGCGTCTGGACATGATAAATTAGCATTGAAAACGGGCAAGGCTTATAAATAGTTAATAGTTAGTTGTCACAGCAAAAACGGGCTGTCAGAAGCAGATGAGGTCCTTTATTTACGGATTTCTAAAGTTCTCAAGCGGAAGGGGAACGCAGTTCGCAATTACTAGTCTGACTACAAAGTAAGGCCAAAGGCAGGCAGCTCAAGGTTTGATATATAACATGCAACTAACTGAAAGCAAAGCCAAGAGCAAATAAAAATAAAAATAAAAGTACGGAACGCAGAAGAGGGCAGCGCGGTTAGCAACAGCTACAGATAAACGGTAAAGATACATCTACGGATACGATACGATACTGATGCAGATAGAGATACTTACTATGTTTATGCGCACTCATTATATGAACAAATACAATTAATAAAACTACGTTATGAAGACATAAAAATTAAACATTTGCATTTACAATTTTTATAATTTGTAAACACAAAAGTAATACTTTAGTTATGATAGTGATCTCTTGGTAGCACATTTTACTAATTTATTACTAGAAATTTTTTAGGTGTGTTATGTTTTTTACCCTAAAAAAGCTTTATATTAAAAGTATTATTTTCAATTTTAATTTGTAATTTCGTTAATTAACTGGCGCATAAACATAGTAGTTAGATACGGAATAGAGACAGTTACAGATTCAGATAGAGACGTATTACATAGGGACAGAGTTGAAGCCAAGCAGAATGGGGAATACGTATAGGAAGTGATGGCTGATCGGCACTTACCCTCGTCGTCCGAGGAATAGTTGTTGTACACCACTCCGCCGGGTCCCATGTTGGCTTGGCTCTCGGATCGGGATCGTTGGATTCCCGAGGTCGATGCTGCATTCCCAACCGCCGGAGTATTGCCATTTCCATTGCCCACCAGTCCCGTTTTGCCTGCCTGGGGGGCATAGCGTGCTCCACTGGCCACCGCCGTGGATGCCAGCAGGATGTTCGGATTGCTGCCCAGCTTGGACATGGCGGACATGTTGCTGCCACCCTGTTGAATGCCCTTGCGGGTCAGAGGTGACTGCAACATGCGTTGCTTCCACTCAAGCAGACGCTTCATGGACTCCTCTCGCTTCCGCTCGCCATCCTGATTGTGCTGCGGCGAACTGGAGGCACCTGCTCCGCCCGAGGTCGGTGAAGTGGTGGTGGAGTTCCCGGCTGAATAGTCATCGTCCATTCCACCCGATCTCTTGGGCAGACGGGCACTGGCGGAGCGCAGGAACTGTTCGTTCTTGCTGATAATCTCCTGCGTGGACATCGAGGGCGGGAAAATGGAGCCCGGATGAACGTTGAGGGGTGGCAGGTCCTCCTGCTGCGGCGACTGCAGCTGCGAGGCCACCGAACGACCTTGACTGGCCGAACGGCTCATCCGCGGCATGCTGCTGGCCGCTCCACCCTGAGCCTGTGCCTCGGCCAAAAGCTCCTGCCGCTTGTAGGCCCGCTCGTAGGGATTCTCGTAGCCAATGGTGTTCACTCCCGAACTGAAATCTCCCCCAGCGGTGCGGTAACTGCCCGCCTGCTGCGGCTGAGCGGCCCCAGCTCCTCCACCTCCTCCTCCGGATCCACCGCTCTGCAGATAGAGGGCACTCTTCCGCATCTTCTCCGCATAGCTGGCCTCCGAGTAGTAGAAGCTGTCCGGCGTTCGGTTGATGTCCAAGCTGGACTTGGGCCTCGGGGCACGGCCACTCTCCTGCTGACTTTGTGCCACCGCCGCGGCGGCAGCGGCTGCAGCTGCCTCGGCACGCGCCTCGTACTCCAGGAAGTCCGCGGAGTGGGGACGCACTATGGCCGCCGCCGAGCGGGCACGCAAGTCCATGGTATTGATTAGTTGATCAGCGGCACTGGCCTAAAAAACGGTTGCAAAAAAGAAGGGGCAAAAATTAGAAAGGGTTATGTAATGGCTTTGTGGGTTTTAGAGTTTTTGCATTTTTAACTAGTGCTGCACTTAAAAAAGGTCTGTCATTTATGGAACTATAACTTTTTGACATAAGCTTATCCCATTATAAGGTATTGAATATAATAAGCATTTAAACCTTTCTGATGATGATACACTTATTCATATAGTTGCACAATAAATATTATCTGTTCCGAAACACATTTTTTAAATAAGATAAAAAAAAATCTGTACTTCCCATAATATTAGGATACCTGAATTTTAGAGAAGATTGCGAATACATTGGTGTTTCAATTAATTTATATTCTATTTACCTACCCCTGGAATTTTAAGCTTAAGTGGGTTTTCAAGAGTTAGTAGAACAACTTTTGCCAAATTTAAGTCTTGAGGATGTAAAAGCAATGTCTATTTTCTGGTCTTTTATTTTTGGAAGCAATTTTAAAGTTGTGGCCCAAGTCTTCGCTAAAGTGTGGAAGATTGGCGTGGCCCGTAACTTGTTCGACACTTGGCAGGCGGCACAGCTGGGCTCGGACCCATGAGCCCGTGGCCATAAATCATGCACGCGACTCATTTCCCGGCTAACTGGCTGGGCCTGACCTGACCCACTAAACAGCTGCACCACCCACCCAAACCAACCCAGTGCCCCACTGCCAAAAGGGCGGAGAGGGCATGGAGTGGCATTCGAAGGAAATTGCTGCACTGGTGGCCAAGAATTGGGGGGGGAAACAGAGGAGCCTCTTCCTTCAGCGAAACGTCTGCAATTCAGCAACCCACTGACACACTAAAGTCCAATTAAATTGTGAGCTGCGGCGGACTCGAGACAGCTGCTTGAAACCGAAAGTTTTTCCGAGAAAGACTCTGGAGGTGTTCTCCACTCCCGTCCATCAATGGAGGCACTTTCAGCAGCAAGTAGCAAGCACCAAACAGCAGTAGTAGCAGCAGCAGCAGCCGCTTTTGTGTGTGCCTTTATGGAGTCGTCGGAGCATGAGGAGTTATCTCAGCAGGAGCAGGCCAGGAGCAGGCACACCGGCAAGGGCAAATAAAAGTGAAAAGCTGATACGTGCGGAGGTGCAATTCTCAGCCAGAAACTTTACAACTAGGTCAGGGATGGAAAGAGGTGCGGAAATAAAACACCATCATTTCCCCTCTTGAGTTTTCCTCCTCGGTTTTTTGTGAGCACTTGCAGTTCCACGCTTTGCGGCAATCAGACAACATCAAGTGGCATCGCAGATGATTTGGTGGGCTGACCTTTGCCGGTGCCACGCCCCCAAGCTCCCAGTTCCCAGCCCGAAGTATCCATAAAGCCGAGGATGCAGTGCCAAGTGGCAGGTCATCAGCAATCGCAATCGGAATCGTAGATTGTTGCTGCCGGGGGCAGTGGTTTGCCATTTTGATTGCCTTTGAGAATTGCACTCTGTTTGTGCCATTAAATCATCTGTGCTGACAACTGGTTTCTACTTCTTATTACGATAAAAATTGTCTTAATAAGAGCCGTTGACTGCTCAAAATTTTCTTAGTTCCATTGACGTTATGATGGTACTACAACGTAACATATTTAAGATTTAGTTCTTTTGTAACTTTCTAAAGATTTCTACAGTATTTTTAAATCTTCTAAAAATTAAAAACAAAATAAAAAAGAAATAGAAAAAATTTTAAATATAAAAATGTTTTAAAGCCAAATATGGTAAAATAATTAAAAATGCTGACAAATGACTTAAGTTTTAACAAGAAGATACCTCTTGCCCCGACTATAAGATACGGTTTTTTAGAAGGGAAGTGGGGAGATGGAGATAGAAACTTTGATCACGCATAACTTTTTAACGAATGGTCCGATTTGAAAATTTTTTCTACATTTGATAGGTAATGATAAACACAATAAAACTGCATTTTTACTTTTCCGAAATATTTCAATTTTTAAAATCGTATATAAGCGATTGTGGGCGTTACAAGGGTGGCACCAGTTTGAAACAAACTTGCGCTGCGTAGGAACTCTAAAATCTACATGAAAATGCCAATCTTCTAGCTTTTATAGTTTCGGGGACCCAAGCTTTCAAAAGGGGGGAAAAAAAGAGAAGAAAGAAAAAGAGAAAGAAAAAGAGAAAAAGAGAAAAAGAAAAAAAGAAAAAAAAAAAAAAAAAAAAAAGATGATTGACTGGCTGTGACCATGCAAGATGAAAAGTTTTTTGGGGGGGGACGAATACAATATACCCTTTTACTCTACGAGTAACGGGTATAAAAACTGAACCATTTGTTTGTATTGTACTAGCACTGAAAGATTTCAAAACTTGTAAGATTGAATAATGTAAGATGAAAAGTTATAAATTTATTTTATCCTAATCTCTCAAAACCCTAAGTTCTAAGTACTTTCCAGATTTTTTAAGTTGTCAGCAATAGGGTTTCACTCTTTTTTTCCACTTACCTCCAAGTGATTGGGTGTGTACCGCTGTGCCATCGCCGGCACGTGCTTGGTGGAATCGTAGCTGGGCGGACTGAGCGGTCGTCGGTAGCTGGCCGCCTCCTGGAGGAGTGCCTCCTGGGCGGACATGGCTCCTCCGCCACCCCCGGCCAACTGCGACATGTTGTAGATGTCCTCGTAATCCGCTGCAGCGGCTGCGGCGGCAAAGAGTCGCTGCTGCTTGGACCGCCCGTATGCGTCCGGAGTTCGCCGCTCCGCCTGCAACAACTGCTGCTGTGTGGGGTATGCCCCATTCGGACCCTGCCGCTGCTGCATCAGCTTGGCCATGTACATCTCCCGCTCGCCGTAGATCTCCTCGGCGGCCCGTTGCTGCTGCAACCTGGCGATCTGCTCCTCCATGTCCACCTGTTGCTGCTGGAACTGTGCCTCCAGGTGATCCAGTGAGTATTGCTGCTGAGCCTGTTGCAACTGCAAGGCGGTGGAAACATGACCCGTTCGAGTGTCGTAGATGGCATGATGTTGCTGCAGTTGCTGTTGCTGTTGTTGCTGCTGAGATCGTTGTTGTTGCTGCTGCTGCTGGTAGAGTTGCTGCGTGGGCGACATGAGGCGGCGACTAGGATGTTGCTGCTGCTGTTCGTTGTGCTCGGGCGATGGGGAGGAGTAGCCACCATCATTGATGCGCCTCGGTTTGGGTGGTGCATTTGCATAGAGGGGTTGTCCGCTGCCTCCGCCACTGCTGCCCGCATTTTCCGACGAGGGCGTTGGCTGTCCCTTGCCAGGATGCGATTGCAATGTGTGAATACCGGAATCGGAGTTCTCGCCACTGTGATTCAGCGAGGAATTCACACTTGGCTCCGATTCCCCGCTGCTGGGTGCCTGCATCAAACTGGCCGCTGCCAAAGCCCTCACCCATTGCATCATGGATTCGGAATTATCCGCTGCCAGCCAATAGGTTCGCATATTCTGATGCTCACACTTGAAGGCAAACTTGCGATAGATCTTGTCCTCGGGCAAACAGGCGGATACGCGATATGAGGGCAGCAGCACTGAGCCCAGGAGTTTCTCCTCCTCGGGTCCCTTGTAGTAATACAGGCAGTACTCGGCCAGGACGAACCAGCGTTTGCGCCACACTTTCAGCCCATCGGAGCCCTGTTTGTGCAGCCAACCCGACAAGGTCACCGGCGTGGAGGGTGGCCTCTTGGTAATGGGTGACTTCAGCGCCTGTATGGATCCAGCGCTCTTCTTCCGATCCAACGGTGCGTGGGTAGGACTCTTGGCCGAGTTCGACGACGACTCCTCCGAACTGGGCGTGGCCTTGGGCTTGACTGTCGATATCTGGGTCTGGCATGCCTGGTTCACCACATGACCGGGATGATTCTGTTGGATGTACACGGTGCCGTGTTCACTGCCCGGCGTTTGCAGGTCATTCTTGTGACGATGTTGCTGCTGCTGCTGCTGTTGCTGTTGTTGCTGCAACTGTTGCTGTTGCAACTGCTGTTGCAGCTGCTGCTGCTGGGCGTACAATTGTTCCTGATAGTGTTTGGGCATTACAGGTTGCTGCTGCTGCTGATGTTGCAACTTCAAAGGACCCTGAGCAGGTTGGTATTGATTTTGCAAATTTAACGAAGATGGAGGAGCCCTCTGTTGCTGATGCTGCTGCTGCTGCTGCTGCTGCTGTTGGGTCATTGTGGTCATATTGGACACCATGCTGGGCGACTGACTCATGTGGTAGTGATTTGTGGGCGGGTTCATGGCCTGTCTCATGGCAAATGTCCGCTGCTGCTGCTGGGCAGCCTCGCTTTGGGTGGCCAACTGGGCCTGCATTTTGGCGGTCTGCAATTGCTGGTACTGCGACTGCAGCGCCGAAATGGGATGGTGTCCGGCGATGGCATTGCTGGCCTGCAATCTTCCGGCCGCCGCCAGATAGGTTCGCTCCGTGGGCGACTGATACAGCTGCTCCCCTGCCGCCGTGCCACCGCTGCTCGAATACGATTGGTGGTACGGGGAACTGTGCGAACTGCTGGACGTTCCACCGCCGTGCTTCATCAGGTTGTGGTTGTGGTGCTTCGACTGCGGCTGCATGTCGATCGGCGAGAGCGGTCCTCCGCCGCTGGAACTGGTGGCCGTGGGCGACTGCTGGTACAGCGCCTGACTGTAGGCCGCCGTTCGGTAGTCCACGAGATTCGTCTGGTAGGCCAATGGCAGCTTCTTCTGCTGCTGCGCCAGGATCGCTGCCTCCTGCAGCTGCTGCAGCTTCTTGGCGTCCATGGTGCCGGCGGTGAAGAGCGGCGGCGCCTCCAACCTGCAATTAGGAAGGCAGAAACGGAAAACCGATCAGTGGAAATTCGCAAGGCTGGCGGAAATGTGATTCAATCTGTTGAGGTCACCGGGCTTAAATTGCTTGCATGAACACGGCAATTAACCCACGGCATACCTTGTACTTGATTAACTCACAAACTATGTTACACCAAAAAAAACTATGGTAATGGATCTTATTGAAAGGAGTTTAATTTTCATTTTGTGCAAATAAAGAAAAATTTGTTTAGAATTCTTAACAACTTGTAAGTGATCCAAAAATATAATGCAATACTTTTATTTTGTCATCTGCTTTATGAAATAAAATATTCTGAGGCACTTCAAGGGAGATTCCTATAGAACCGCTAAATATTTCAAATATGTGGCAAGAGTTGACAAGGGGTTAAGCCGTAGTGGAGGGTCTTCGAAAATCGCAAACTACGGAAGGCACGGAGACCGTGGAAAATGCAACTGGCTCAGCGCGTAATTGACCGTAATTGATTAACTGCAGTCGCCGCTCTGGCCACAAACACACGGCTGACCTTGCAGGCCTTAATTTCTCTGCGGGAAATGGGAAATCGGAAAGGGGGTTGGGAAATGGGGTGGGAAATGGGGAACGTGTGGAGGGGGACAAATGGGGACTTAACCGGAGATCTATGAGATTTACGCTACTCACCAGTCCCACAGCTGATAAATGCAGCCAAACATTTTTGCACTTTTTTGTCGTGTATTGCGTTAATTCGTTTAATAACTTAATTGGCCTTATTGCCTTAATTCAATTGCACTAATTTCTTTCTCGCGCCCGCCTTTTCGCTTTTATTGTAATGAGTTTTGATTTGATTATTCGATTGGCTGCAAAAACTCAATTAAAACTTTTCAATTGAAATGTGGCGGCCTCTTTTTTCGCGTTGCTTTTCGCATGTGTGCCTCAGACTTTTTGGGGGCCTGAAAAAAATTGGAATTGCAGCCGCCGCCTAGTTGCAATTGAAACTGTGAATGTGTCTATTTTTATTGGAGGAGGACCACAGATTTATTTGTCCCCGGTTGGCGGCAATTGCCAAGAGAAAAAATCGCAAAAGAACAAAAAATAAAACCGAATAAAAGTCAAAGAGATTGGCAGGGAGCAAACGTAGAGCTTAATTTGCATATCGATTTTGTGGGTGTTAAGTTTTTGGGGCGGGGTAAACTCAATTTAATTCAATTCTGCTTTTTGCCTGTTTCAAAGTTGTTTATGTTCTGCATATTCAATGCGAATGAAAAACATCATAAATTTATTTAGCCTCCCTAAGGCAGTACACAAAAAAGAAATCATCTCCAAGGAAACAATAATTCCCTTGTTGCATATTGAGCACGAATTCGGTTTTAATGAGAACGAACAAATCGAGTGGACAAATCCAGATACGACACACACAGCAAACATTTGTGGGGCCGAATCAGCGATAACTGCTCTATCGAATGACAATTTTAATGCAATTTAACGTCGAAAACTGTGAGATTCTGGCCTGAATTCACGGAGAGATGCATCTGCAATGAGCCCGTTTCGAATGCATTTAACCAAATGAATTATGGATTGCCTTTATTGAAGCTCCGGCACATGCCTCCAACGGAAGGGCAAAAATCCTGGGAAATGCATCCCATCCCGGGCTTCTCTTCTCCATCTGTCTATCCTGTCTGTCTGGGCATTAAATGAATCCCTTACAATAAAAAACGAGTCAGTCAGAAAAACAGTATTGTTAAATCGGAAGCAATTCACAAAGACCTTTAAAAAAGCCGTATTTTTATGGTACCATACTTCATTAACTACATCTACTTTATCAATGTTAAATATAAATTTTCAAGATACCCCTAATTTAACATTACCTTATCATCACTTTGCAAAGACTGATTGTTTTTTATAAATTGTAATAACATATTTATGTGATATAATAATAAAATCAGCTAAATATTAATAAATATTTAATAATAATTTAAAGGCATGAATGCTGTCAGGACTTTAACGACATTTTATTTCTTTCAGTGCCTTAAACTTGACTCTTGCATTAAAAGCAAAATCCTGTTGAAAATGTTACGCAATAAATAAGCAATTGATCCGGTGCTAACAGCCATTCCTAGCCAGACATTTTCTTGGCCAGTGCGTGGGTGTTAGGACCATCCCCGGCTATTTTACGCTACAATCAACTCTGGCCAAACAATTTTATAATTGCCTGCCAGTTGGGCCGCAATTTGTATGGCTTTCAATTACACCGCCCGCAGTTGGCCAAAAGCGCAATGGCAGAAAGCCGAACGAAGACGTGGCCCAAAGCAGAACTCACAATAATATATTGGCGGCGGAACAACAATATAAAATCAATACCGATTAAACGACAGGACTCTCCCCCTTTCTCTCTAGGGTCCTTTGAGCTGGGTTTTATTTATGTATGCGGGTTGGCGAACGAGGGAGTGAAATGGCTGTCTTGCAGCTTCTTGATATTGCAACATTTTCCAGCCCCGAAAAACCCTCCCCCCCCTCTGCAGCTATCTTTTTCCCGCTTTTCGGTTGACAGACGCCGCTAATGTGAGCATGAAAAATTACCACAGAAATATTTTATGCACACAACTGGGGGAGGGCACAAGAATGTGCCAAAAAAATATGTGCATATAAATGCCCCACATACTATACCTATGGTATACATAGTGAATATTATGCTGAAAGATGATATAAATTTGGCATACGGCCAGCCCCAAAAACGACGGGGCTAATGGTAATGATACACATCATATTATGCTTATTTATATAACAAATTACAATACTGCCGATTAGAGGTCATTTGGCCATATGTGTTTACAGTCGAACTTCACAAGCCACTGCTCCCGGAAAATTTCGCTTTTGTTGCGCTTATTATTTGTTCAGCGATGCATGGTTTTCCATTGAATTCGGTTCAAAAATATGTGAAAGCTGCCCGAAATATGGAAATGATAATGAGGCTCAAAACTATGTCGATAATTGAACCCAATACGCTTGTTTGACATTCGATTGGCATGTGAGTTTTCCTTTTCGGAGAAGCAATTTCAATAAAATCGCGCATACGTCCTGTGGTATGCGCAGTGGAATTCAATTATCTTTGATAGGCATTCTGTGTCATGTATAATTATAATTTCAGGTCGTGACCCTGCTTGATAAGGGTTTTGTCTATACTTCGGTAACAGCCTGTCCTGATTATTTTTAGCTTGAATTTAATTGCTGTGACATATATGCAACAGACTGTCACCAACAAGCACACACCTTTGCCGAAGAGGGACACACCTTCTGGGTGGTTTACCCGCCAATTCAGCCACAAGCTGGCCGCACTGACGTCATTTCCACCAACGGCAAGTGCCACTCAGGCCACTCAGAGGAAAAGGGCGAGAGGAAGGCGACCAACTGCCACCCAGCCACTTTACTTCTCTCGGAAAAGCGGCCCACGAACTGGCCAACTTAATTAGTATTGAGACCTGCCTCTTTCGCCATTGCCACTCCACTCCATTCCATGGACTCTTGTAATACGCTAAGTGCAATTATAAATACTCATCAAGCGAAGATTCCAAAGTAGTTAAAACCCCCAGAAAACGAACTGGAACAATAAATAATGCGAGAAAAGAACAGAAAACTTGAATGGGTCGGATAGGAAAAATCAATAAGCAAGAAAAGCGAAAAGTTGAGATACAGAGCGAGTCGGCAAAATATCTGAGCGCCCTGCTGAAAGTGTGACAAACTTGGGAACATTGAGAAAAAGTGGCCCACACATAGAGATACACACAAATCGAAGAACACAGAGAAAAAAACTTTAATTCCTGGAAATATTATGTATACGTATCAAATTTGGTACATATCTTAGTTGACGTTGTAATCAGAAAACATTCGGAATTCATTTGAATTTGTAAACTTTTATTTAAGAAAATAAAAAATATTAAAAAGAAATAGTTTTTCTCTCTGCAAAAAGGTTCTTATGTACTTTTAGTTTTATTTTTCGCCATTTTCTCGAAAGCCCCCTGGGTATTTGGCACATCATGACCTTGCCCGTCGCTTTTGATGAGTTGTCAATGGGCGGAGATACTAGTATGGTAAGAAGTAAGTGGAATTCGGGCCAAAAGTGTTGCATAATATTTGCCCGAGGCTGGAATGGCCGGTACTTTAACAAATCGCCTCGGTTCACACATCATTGTAAAGGGGAAAAACTGTTTGCTTATTGCATATTGATCCCGCTGTTCAGTCAGCCGCTTGTTAAATTTGCATTCCGCAAAACAATTGAAAGCAATTAAACTCAAATCAATCATTAAATTGGGTGCATCAGTGTGCGAGTGTTTGCATTAGTAGCGGATAATGCTTAATGGCATTCGACTGCAATCTGTTTTTGCGGGCGATGCATTAAGCTGTAATCGTAACGATTCTGTGGCCGCTGGCTAGCATAAATCAGGAGCGAAATCGACCCATGGTTTGTGGATATTAATTGAACCCGGCAAAGCCATTGGATATTTTGCAAAGTTTAGGGCTTCCATTTTACCTGACATCGGAAATTGGATTTTGGTTCAAAGTTCGCAATATGCAGTATTCAAAACGGAGGCCCCGACCCCAAATACTTTTCCAAGTATGATGGAATCAAAGTTTTGTTTAAACAACATTTAAGCCCGGCAGCAGCAACAGCAGCCGACCCAATTCAAACTTGCACACTTGATTTGCCAGACAGTGTGTGCTCTTGAAGAACAACGGCTGGGTTAGAGCACCAAACCCCTCCACCCCTCTCGTCACCTCTCTGGAACTAAAAGCCGACAACAACATCCAAAACATTCCGGCTAGGAGGTCCTCGCAACAAAGCATAAATATTCATGGGTATAGTTGTGTCAGAAGAGCGAAAGAGGGATGGATAGAAATGCACACGGACATATGCCTCAATACATCGTGTGTATACCGTGAAAAACCAATGAGATTCAATTAAATATATTTTTCTTTAACATAAAAATATGACATCATAAATAATAAATACAAATTATCTATCAATGGAGTATTAAAATGTCATCAATTTACTAAAACCTTTTAGAAAATGCCAACAACAGAAAAAAACAACATTAAAAAATCATTTTATTTTTCCATTTATAAAATTAAAATGAAAATATATTTTTGTCAAGTTATATTTTATTATAATAATTATGAAAGTCCAGTGAATGTAATCATGTAGTAAAACAACCTTTCTATCAAAGGAAACAAATTTATTTACCAGTTGAATTATGCTGATAAAAGTTCAGAGATAAAGCAAAAAGTCAAAAAAAAATGTATAAAAATCGTGCAATGACCTCAAAATTATTGAACTAGGTAAAAAGTTTATTATGAACTTTAAAAACTCATCTACAAAAGGCAGCTATCTAGTTTGCCTCAGTGTGCCTATGTATGCGTCAACTTCTGCCCAGAATGACACTTGATGATGGAGATTTTGTTGCTTTCACTTTTGTCGTCCTCATAGTGGGTTGTTGTCCTTAGAGCCCCCCAGCTGGCTGGCTGACTTGATTGGCATAGACGCCAAACGAGCGTAGGGCAACAGACGTGCATGCATCATCATCATCGTCATCGTTGTTGTCCTCCTGGTGGGTGCAATCCCATTTTATCTCACAGTAACCCACAATCAGGAGCCCGGGCACGTCCTTCTCGAGGAGCAGCGATGGCGTCAATGCAGCCCAGGCGGCAAAAGGGCAGCAAAGAGCTTCCCACTCTCTCAGTCTGTCTCCAAGGTGATTATCAGTAGGATGCCTATATCCTGGCGCTCCGCCAAAGGAAGCCAAAGTTCAGCATTAGGGGAAAATCGCTAAGTGAGCGTGGGAAGGCTGAATAAGTCATTGAGCGAAAATTTCATCAAGCCATCAGTAGGCAGCCGGAGCTCTGGCATTTCGCTAATGCTCGCTTTCATTTGCGCCTTGCACAAGTTAAAAATTCAAATCAAGGCAAGGACACGGCACTCACACACTCGCATACACACAAACACACATTCCCAAAGAGTTTATCAGGGAAACATGAGCGATGGCAATGGCGGCTGCCATTCATGTTGCATACTAATTTAAATACGTGGCACGCACAGGAGTCGTCCGGAAAATGGAAGGAGAGAGGGGGAGAGAGAGGTAAAGCTCGGGAAAGTGAGAGGTGGTGGAAAATGCCACCCACTCTAGCCATCCCATGCGGTGCTGTTACCCATTTCCGCTTCTGGCAGCAGCACAAAAGCCACTCGAGTCCTTGCCTCCAGGATGTGTGCCATGTTTATGGCTGCTACTCCCTGCCTCTCTCCCTCTCACTCAATCCCTATCTCTTTCGCTCGCAAAAAACACTCCTGGAAACAAAGACAAGCAAAAATATTTTGCCGTTTTTAGTTGTCGCAAAAGTTTGCCTTGTGTTTGTGGGTGTAGGTACTATGTGTTTGGGTTCGAGCGCTTTTGTTTATTGTGTATTTGTTTGGC